CCTGTTCTACGGATCTAGTTGTAACTTGGGTGAGAGAAATTCTTTGGACCCTGTTCTACGGATCTAGTTGTAACTTGGGTGAGAGAAATCCTTGGACCCTGTTCTACGGATCTAGTTGTAACTTGGGTAAGAGAAATCCTTGGACCCTGTTCTACGGATCTAGTTGTAACTTGGGTAAGAGAAATCCTTGGACCCTGTTCTACGGATCTAGTTGTAACTTGAGTAAGAGAAATCCTTGGACCCTGTTCTACGGATCTAGTTGTAACTTGGGTAAGAGAAATCCTTGGACCCTGTTCTACGGATCTAGTTGTAACTTGGGTGAGAGAAATCTTTGGACCCCCCCCCCCTGTTCTACGGATCTAGTTGTAACTTGGGTAAGAGAAATCCTTGGTCCCTGTTCTACGGATCTAGTTGTAACTTGGGTGAGAGAAATCCTTGGACCCCCCCCCCCCCCCCTGTTCTACGGATCTAGTTGTAACTTGGGTAAGAGAAATCCTTGGACCCTGTTCTACGGATCTAGTTGTAACTTGGGTAAGAGAAATCCTTGGACCCTGTTCTACGGATCTAGTTGTAACTTGGGTAAGAGAAATCCTTGGACCCTGTTCTACGGATCTAGTTGTAACTTGGGTGAGAGAAATCCTTGGAACCTGTTCTACGGATCTAGTTGTAACTTGGGTAAGAGAAATCCTTGGACCCTGTTCTACGGATCTAGTTGTAACTTGGGTGAGAGAAATCCTTGAACCCTGTTCTACGGATCTAGTTGTAACTTGGGTAAGAGAAATCCTTGGACCCTGTTTTACGGATCCAGTTGTAACTTGGGTGAGAGAAATCCTTGGACCCCCCCCCCCCTGTTCTACGGATCTAGTTGTAACTTGGGTAAGAGAAATCCTTGGACCCTGTTCTACGGATCTAGTTGTAACTTGGGTGAGAGAAATCCTTGGACCCTGTTCTACGGATCTAGTTGTAACTTGGGTGAGAGAAATCCTTGGACCCTGTTCTTCGGATCTAGTTGTAACTTGGGTAAGAGAAATCCTTGGACCCTGTTCTACGGATCTAGTTGTAACTTGGGTAAGAGAAATCCTTGGACCCTGTTCTACGGATCTAGTTGTAACTTGAGTAAGAGAAATCCTTGGACCCTGTTATACGGATCTAGTTGTAACTTGGGTAAGAGAAATCCTTGGACCCTGTTCTACGGATCTAGTTGTAACTTGGGTGAGAGAAATCTTTGGACCCCCCCCCCCCCCCCCTGTTCTACGGATCTAGTTGTAACTTGGGTAAGAGAAATCCTTGGTCCCTGTTCTACGGATCTAGTTGTAACTTGGGTGAGAGAAATCCTTGGACCCCCCCCCCCCCCCTGTTCTACGGATCTAGTTGTAACTTGGGTGAGAGGAATGTTCCAATTCTTAATCCTGCTCCGGTCTGCCTGGCTAATAAGCACTGCTTGAGCCGGTAATGACCGGATCACCAATTAAGCTGTGCGTGTCCGCCTGCGTGTGTGCACGTCACGTTATGTGGTCCGGCCTTGAACTTGATCCACCCGTCCATGTGCTCGCGTGTCTGTCTGGTCTCCGTCCAGATAAGCTCCGTTTATCGCTGCCCTCGGTGTATAATCTCAGTATATTGGTATATAGGCCTCCGGTTATCAATAACCGCGCTGTATAGTGTTATCTGCAGTATATGGGCCTGTGGTTATCTCTTGGCTCGGTCTGTGTCATGCTTTATTGGGGTCTGTCAGTTATGACTGGGGTCTGTGTCATGTTTTATTGGGGTCTGTCAGGTATGACCGGGGTCTGTGTGATTGGGGTCTGTCAGGTATGACTGGGAACTGTGTCATGCTTTATTGGGGTCTGTCAGGTATGACTGGGGTCTGTCAGGTATGACTGGGGTCTGTCAGGTATGACTGGGGTCTGTCAGGTATGACTGGGGTCTGTCAGGTATGACTGGGAACTGTGTCATGCTTTATTGGGGTCTGTCAGGTATGACTGGGGTCTGTCAGGTATGACTGGGGTCTGTCAGGTATGACTGGGAACTGTGTCATGCTTTATTGGGGTCTGTCAGGTATGACTGGGGTCTGTGTGATTGGGGTCTGTCAGGTATGACTGGGGTCTGTGTGATTGGGGTCTGTCAGGTATGACTGGGGACTGTGTCATGCCTGATTGGGGTCAGTAAGGTATGACTGGGGTCTGTGTCATGCCTGATTGGGGTCAGTAAGGTATGACTGGGGACTGTGTCATGCTTTATTGCTTTATAATGTACATGGTTCATACAGTTACTCCTTCAGTGCTCAACTACTAGCCCCTTAGGTCTTGAGTTCGGATCTCGGTCCAGACAATGACTGCAGGACGTCCCTGAGTACATCCATCTCTGATGGGTACCTGACTTAGAGAAGGCAGTTGGACATAGGACTGACCATCATATGCCTATATCAAGAAACATCAACTCTACTTCATCTGCCCTGTGACTGGTTAGATCTGAAATAGAACTGTACAAGGTTGTATCTGTGTAGACACCCCCCATCCTTGTATTGTCTAATGATGTCAGCTGTCAGCCAGCCCGCCCCTCACGCCCCAGACTCGCCCGTCTCCCCGGGGAGTGCTGCAAATCGCGGTGGTTCCAATCTAAGTCTGTCCTCCTTTCTGGACGCCTTATGTCAACAGGGGTCAAGAAAACTGTGTCTTCGTTTTATCCTCGGCTGTTTTCGTCCTTTTTCACTCCCCTCTCCTCCCTCCCTCCCTACCTCTCATCTGTCCTCCAGATAATTTGATAGAATAACCCTTGTTTGTCTGGGTGAATTTTTTTTTGTTGCCACGACAGTATTATATTTCCTAACACCCCCCCCCCCCTCCGTGTGGGTAAATAGCTTTATGAACTGACCAATGACGACGTGTCTGTTGTCTAAAAAACAACTGTGAAATGAATTTTGTCTGATAATATTATGATCAGATTTCGTTTTAAAAGAAGCTTTAGATTTATGTTTTTATTTCTTTATCGCGGACAAAAGTAATTGTTCTTTCTTATAGACAGTTGCTCCTTAAATAGTTTAGATTTCATCCATTTCTTAGACGGCGCGTAATCAACTTTGTATCATATAGGTAACCAAGCAACTAGTGGCTCAATCTGGAACACATAATAACTGGCCAACCTTAGACCCACCAACTGGCCTACCTTAGACCCACCCTTAGACCCACCAACTAGCCTACCTTAGACCCACCAACTAGCCTACCTTAGACCCACCAACCGGCCTACCTTAGACCCACCAACCAGCCTACCTTAGACCCACCAACCAGCCTACCTTAGACCCACCAACCAGCCTACCTTAGACCCACCAACCAGCCTACCTTAGACCCACCCTTAGACCCACCAACTAGCCTACCTTAGACCCACCAACCAGCCTACCTTAGACCCACCAACTAGCCTACCTTAGACCCACCAACCAGCCTACCTTAGACCCACCAACCAGCCTACCTTAGACCCACCAACCAGCCTACCTTAGACCCACCCTTAGACCCACCAACTAGCCTACCTTAGACCCACCAACTAGCCTACCTTAGACCCACCAACTAGCCTACCTTAGACCCACCAACCAGCCTACCTTAGACCCACCAACCAGCCTACCTTAGACCCACCAACCAGCCTACCTTAGACCCACCAACCAGCCTACCTTAGACCCACCAACCAGCCTACCTTAGACCCACCCTTAGACCCACCAACTGGCCTACCTTAGACCCACCAACCAGCCTACCTTAGACCCACCAACTGGCCTACCTTAGACCCACCAACCAGCCTACCTTAGACCCACCAACCAGCCTACCTTAGACCCACCAACTCTGCGTCTAATGACGCACTAAGCCCCGCCTAGCACTGATCATTATGTAGGACAAACTTCCCCCTAATGACCTACCTGTACCTAAAAAGCCAATTAATTCTTCAGGTTATTAACAGTTTTACCCCGTCATATTTATGTTCTGTATTTCCCATGACTGACAAGATAGATTGTTAAGGACGTTGAACCCATCTTTTTTTTTAAAAAATAATATGGAAATAAATAAAAACAAATTTAATTCATCATGAAACATATTCACCAACATTTTTAATCCTCTTGTTGGCAGAGGAAATAATTGTTTTTTATTCTGTTCGACATCTTTGTTTGTTTTTTTTTAACCATTTTTTTTCATTCATTATTATCACTTCGTATTGTTTTTGTTTTTTTTTTATATTAATTTTATTATTTTTTTTAATCCCCGAAGAATTGAATAAACGTTGCTCCAAATGTGGTCAGCATTTATCCGATACCCAGTAACCTCTATACCCCATCACCTAGTGACTACAAAAATAGTTGAGAGTGATGAGCCAGGAGAGATTTTAAAAATTGATTCTTTAATTATTTTTTTTTAAAGAATTAACAGACAAAGACACGCAAGTAACTAACCCGTGTCTTCTATAATTATCACCACCGGTAAAGTTAACTTGCACACAATTTTTTTGCACTTAGATTGGAAATACCTGCACAGTGCTTCCCGTCGGTAGGTAATATAAACAAAAAAGTGTTTATTATAGTCAGACATTCTCCGTGTATTTTCTGACCTCGAACCTGCTTTAAAATAAATAGGACGTATCATCCAAATTTAGCATCGCTTTTTGAAAGGCGTAAGTGTCGTGTGCAGTTTTATACCATATTTTTTGTACAGGTTTTTATAGCGAATTTATTATTTTACACCCATATGTAATGTGAAACTGTACATTTGCATACTTGAACCAGTTGAATCTAGCTGTGGTTATACAGCATAGAACCGGTTAGTGGCAAATGTTTCTATATTTTCCTGTGAACCTCGCGCCCACTTTGTTGCCCAGAGGTACCCCCACGCCCTCAATGCTGCCCATGTGCACCCCACGCCCCCTTTTTTGCTGAGGTGCACCCCGTGCCCCTTTTTCTGCTCATGTGTACCCGCGCCCCTCTCTGTTACACCCGCGCCCCCTCTGTTACATCCACGCCCCCTCTGTTACATCCGCGTCCCCTCTGCTTCCCAAGTGCACCTCGCCCCACCCCCGCCATTGCCCAGGTGCACCTCGCGCCCCCTGTCTTGCCCAGGTGCACCCCGCGCCCCCGCCATTGCCCAAGTGCACCGCGCCCCACCCCCGCCATTGCCCAGGTGCACCTCGCGCCCCCTGTCTTGCCCAGGTGCACCCCGCGCCCCCGCCATTGCCCAAGTGCACCGCGCCCCGCCATGGCCCAAGTGCACCCCTTGCCCCCTGTCTTGCCCAGGTGCACCCCGCGCCCCCTGTCTTGCCCAAGTGCACCCCGCGCCCCCGCCATTGCCCAGGTGCACCCCGTGCTCCCAGTGCTGGCTGTGATAGATGACATTTGCATACTTGAACCAGTTGAATCTAGCTGTGGTTACACAGCATAGAACCAGTTTGTGGCAAATGTTTCTATATTTTCCTGGGAACTTCGCGCCCACTTTGCTGCCCAGGTGCACCCCACGCCCCCTTTTTTGCTCAGGTGCACCCCGTGCCCCTCTCTGTTAAAACCGCGCCCCCTCTGTTACACCCGCGCCCCCTCTGCTTCCCAAGTGCACCTCGCCCCACCCCCGCCATTGCCCAGGTGCACCTCGCGCCCCCGCCATTGCATAGTAGCACCCCACGCCCCATCTTTTGCCCAGGTACACCTCGCGCTCCTCTTTTTCCCAGGTGCACCCGCGCCCCCGCCATTGCCCAGGTGCACCCCGCGACCCAACCATTGCCCAAGTGCTCCCGCGCCCCCTGTCTTGCCCAAGTGCACCCCGCGCCCCCTGTCTTGCCCAAGTGCACCCCTTGCCCCCTGTCTTGCCCAGGTGCACCCAGCGCCCCGCCATTGCCCAAGTGCACCCCTTGCCCCCTGTCTTGCCCAAGTGCACCCCTTGCCCCCTGTCTTGCCCAGGTGCACCCAGCGCCCCGCCATTGCCCAAGTGCACCCCTTGCCCCCTGTCTTGCTCAGGTGCACCCCGCGCCCCCGCCATTGCCCAAGTGCACCCCTTGCCCCCTGTCTTGCCCAGGTGCACCCCGCGCCCCCTGTCTTGCTCAGGTGCACCCCGTGCTCCCATTGCTGGCTGTGATAGATGACTAGCCCGTGGAAGTCTGTGGAATCCAGCGGTTATGACTAGACTAACGGGCGGTACAAATGTACACTTGTCACAAGACGGGGGTCAAAATATCTGTGGCAAGATTGATGGCAGGGTTATCGCACTTGTTGGCTCATTAGCACGGCGACACGTAACTACCGGGGGAGGGGGGCTTGGTGGGCTTTAAGATTACACCAGGTCAGCGCTGGATCGTGGGGGCTTTTGTATTACATCGGGTTGGGGAGGGGGGTAGGGCTTTTGTATTTTACTAGGGCGAGATGTCTTGTTAGGGCTTTTTGTATTTAATTAGGGTGGGGTGGCTGTTTAGGGGTTGTGTATTTAACAAGGGTTTAGTTAAGGTTTTCAGTTTACATGGATGGTGGATGCGATGATTTGAGGAGTTCATAAGAATCTGTACGCTTTGACCTACAGACCATTGTATCTTTTCGTATGTGGGTCGTATGTCATTTTTGTACAAAGCCAGACATGAAGTCGACGCAGTCAGAGCTGGGTTAGTGCGTACCTGTCCCTGTGACGTGTGGTTGACCACCCGGCCCGCCCATGCGACCGAGGGTGGAGCCGTGTAACGTGAGACGGCCGTACCGGTTACCTTAATCCCACCCGGTGATGTCGTGTTACGTGAGACGGCGTTACGTCAGACAGCGTCCTGAAACGAACCCGTGGGTCTTTGTGTGATGTGTTTCTGTAGGGCCTTGTATGTTACTGGCGCTCGTGGCTTGTTGTTTTTTAAACCATAGACACAGGGCGAGGGTGGGAGTAATTGCCGAGGATAGGATTGGTCATCACTGCTACATTGGTCAGTGTAAAACATACAATGATCAATGTAAAACATACTACTCCTACAATGGACAGTGTAAACACACCACTCCTACAATGGACAGTGTAAAACACACCACTCCTACAATGGACAGTGTAAAACACACCACTCTTACAATGGACAATGTACAAACATACTACTAGTATTGTGAGGTAACAGCAACACTACCCCACAACTCCCAACCCCACAAACACCTCAAACCGTCCCCATCACGTGGTCAACCTCTCACCAATGTCCTTGCCTTACCTTGAGATGTTATGACGTGGTGTTCTTGGTTCACAAGACGGCTGAGGCCAGCTTGAAGATAGGGCGGCGTGACGTCATCCCTTATCGCCACCTGAAGATAACCGGAAGGTACTCGGCATTGCTGGACGTCTGGCCCTTACGTGACCGCCGTCTGCTGCAGTCGCCCGAGTGTCGTTTGGAGTTCTCTCCTCTTGCTGTATCTACGTCCCCTGAAGGTTTGAGCAGATCTCTGAGTCAGACGTTGAGGACGGGCGCAGATAACGCGTCATCCGCAGGGCCGGACCGCCTTTGTTCTACTCTACGAGTGCTTAATCTGGCCGTACAAAAATAAATAAGCGAACCGGAATTTGAAATGAACTTAAAGTCAACTTGACTCGGTGCGGACAAGTCAAGAGGTGGCGATAAACTTGCCATGTCATTTTTTGTGTGTGTGTGTCAGATTAAAGTTGGTGAGTGCAGTTTTTAGGTGCTCTGTGTTTAGATTTAGATGACTAATTTTATGTTATTCATTTGTTGGGGGGGGGGGGGGTATTTTACAGCTTGTTCAATTTTACAACTAGTTATTGTTTTAACCGCTAGATCTAGTGACGAATAGTGACGACTAGAAACATATTTAAGAACTCTTGTATACCATAATAGCCGACAATTGTTTCCCCAAGTCCTAAAATGTGACCAAGAAAATATTTTTGAGAACCCATATAGACTAGACAGCCTAGTCCCATTATGTGACCAAGAAAATATCTTCGAAAGAAAATATATTTGAGAACCCGTATAGACTAGTCCCATTATGTGACCAAGAAAATATCTTCGAAAGAAAATATATTTGAGAACCCGTATAGACTAGTCCCATTATGTGACCAAGAAAATATCTTCGAAAGAAAATATATTTGAGAACCCGTATAGACTAGTCCCATTATGTGACCAAGAAAATATCTTCGAAAGAAAATATATTTGAGAACCCGTATAGACTAGTCACGTTATGTGACCAAGAAAATATATTTGAGAACCCGTATAGATTAGTCCCGTTATGTGACCAAGAAAATATATTTGAGAACCCGTATAGACTAGTCACGTTATGTGACCAAGAAAATATATTTGAGAACCCGTATAGACTAGTCCCGTTATGTGACCAAGAAAATATATTTGAGAACCCGTAAAGACTAGACAGCCTAGTCCCGTTATGTGACCAAGAAAATATATTTGAGAACCCATAAAGACTAGAAGGGCCAAGTTGTTTCGCCTAGTCCTGTTATGCCTCATCCAACCAAATGAAGTAGTATGTGAACAAACAAAAATTCCTCGACTCCTAAATAAACTGGCCGATCGATGAAAGTGTACGAGCAGACAGCGGGTCAGCTAACAATAAACTAATTTATGCTGGACATGTCTGACGCTGCACCTGCTGTAGCCCGTGCATAATTGAAACTATTCACAATTATGATGGCTAATGCAGCATCTGTATCAGCTTTCTCCCCGCTGGTATGTTGAGATGGATGCTGGCAAGGGGGTGGGTGGATCTATGTGGGCAGGGGAGGAGGGTGTTGGGGTAGAGGGAGACTGGACCTAATGGAGAGAGGCCAGGTCATTTTGATATCATCGAGAGCTGTTGTGTGCTACTGCCAGACGCCATCTTTGATCCACCCGCCTTAAAGGTCCCCGTGTTCTGTCTAGGTGGTCCTCTGGTATGGCCCCAGTGATTTCTTCTGCTAAGAGGTTCCCTTGTTCTCTTTTAGACGTCCCCAATTAGTCTCCTTGTTTTGCTCAGAGGTCCCCTTCTTCTGCCTAATTGGTCCCCTTGTTTTGTCCTTGGTCCCCTTGTTCTGCCCATTTTGCCCCCTTGTTCTGCCCAATTGGTCCCCTTGTTTTGGTCTGCTTGTTCTGCAGACACCTTGTTCTGTCTTAGAGGCCTCCCTTGTCCGAGTCTAAAGTTATTCGAGATGGTGTACTGACCCAAGAGCTCTTTTACATGTAGCTGATGTGTCTCGCTGTATAAGGACAAGGCACATTTCTTACAGCTATGTTCAGCGTTATATCTCCGTCTGACGGCATGCAGTATGTCATAACTGTCTGACACCGTGCTGTATATCATGACTGTCTGACACCATGCTGTATGTCATGACTGTCTGACACCATGCTGTATGTCATGACTGTCTGACATCATGCAGCATGCCACGACTGTCTGACACCATGCAGTATGTCATGTTTGTCTGACGGCAGTTTGTCTGACATGTCTGTCACAAGATCGTACAACTGTCCACAGACCCTGCCCAGCTCCCCTAGCAGGTCCGCACCAACACAGTTTGTATTGTAACGTAGCTCATACACGACCGCCACTGCCCGTCTTTAGCTGGAGCTGGATGCTGAAATCTAAAATAGCATCAAGACAAACTATTGATCGGTGAATCGAGTCTTCGTAAGCCCCGCCCCTCTCTCTGCTGTCCATTCTGGTATTCTCACGTTCTCATTTCTTGCTGAGTAGCCAATCGCCGTACGTGTACATATGTGTATATATATATATATATATATATATATATATATATATATATATATATATATATATATATATATATATATATATATATATATATATATATATATATATATATAATATTTATATATGTTTATCTATCGTACCTTGAATAAATATTGCCTAAAGCGCTAATTAACCTAGCCCATTTGCTTCAATTAAAGAGCAGAGCTTGTTCCGGGCGGCAATGGTTTCCCAACATAGGGGGAGGGGGGAGATTCCAACTTTTGATGGCCTTTACATGTACACTTGTGGAGTGAGATGTTCCTGTCAATGGTTGAACAAAAAAAAAGGGTAAAACAAAAAAATCGGGTCCTTACTGTTCTATTTTTAACTCACTTTTTTTTTCTTCCAAAAGTGCAACATTGCGGTTTTTTTATTTCAGGTTTAGGTTCAATAAAAGGGAGAAAGTATGACCTGAAATGTCCCCCTCCTACGTCTCGTCTCCCCCCCCCCTCCCCCTTGTTCCGCCCATTGAGCCCGGCGAACGTGTTCTTATTGGCACGAGATTGCTTGAACTTAGCGTCTGACCTCATCTTTTTAGCTCTGTAGGTTACTGGGGGGCGGGGTGGGAGTTGGCAGATGGTCAGCTGTAGCCCATTCCAAGCAATGCGGTCACCATAAACTTGAGGTACTGTAAACCCTCGTATAGGCTAACGGGTCCCCCCACTTGTTAAAAAAGGTCCTGTGTGTGGTAAAAGTGTAAGCAAACAAAACCTGAGGACGTGCTACCCCCCCCCCCCCCCCACACACACACACACAGAGTCATACACATGCGCGCACGCACCCACTCCCCGCTTGACAACTCTCCATGACTAATATTTGCTGTTCTCGGTGTTTGAACGGGTTACGCTGAACTAGGGGGATTTTTTTTTTAGTGGGGGGGGGGGGGGGGGGGGGGGTAATTGTAATAGACATATAGACAAGCTGGTAATGGACACCATTCACATAGTCATAGGCACATTTAACGTAGACACTATTCACATAGTCATAGGCACATTTAGCGTAGACACTATTCACGTAGACACATTTAACATAGACACTATTCACATAGTCATAGGCATATTTAGCGTAGACGTAGGCACCATTCGCATATAGTTATAGACACATTGAACGTAGACACTATTCACAACTATTTACAAAGACACATTGAGTGTAGACGTAGACACTATTCGCATAATTATAGACACATTTAACGTAGACACTATTCGTATAATTATAGACACATTTAACGTAGACACTATTCACATAGACACATTTAACGTTGACATAGACACATTTAACGTTGACACTATTCACATAACGTAAGCACGGTTCACATAGTAATAGACACATTTAACATATTACATAGTAATAAACACTGGAGTAAGGGGGATATTTGTATGGTTAAAGTTTGATTTATATTTACACACACCCACACACACATATGCTGAAACAAATAATATTAACATTGGCAGCACCGAAACAAAACATTAGGATACCGCATTAAGTCTGGCTTTGTTGCATGTGATGTATAACTGCTGTATGTGATGTTTATCTGCTGCATGTGATGTATATCTGATGCATGTGATGTGTATCTGCTGCATGTGATGTATATCTGATGCATGTCATGTATATCTGCTGTATGTGATGTATATCTGCTGTATGTGATGTATATCTGATGCATGTGATGTATATCTGCTGCATGTGATGTATATATGTGATAGCAACCTGTAAACCATGACGATGAGCCTGGGGTGGCCTGTACAGATGACCAGTATAGATACAGGCTAATCACCTGCTTGTCACTCGGTGTTTGCCTGGTTTGTTGCTAGTGATGGTGTGGGGTTTTGTGTGTGTGTGTGTGTGTGTGTAATCTACGATCTCGTCCCTAACAACCATCATTTGTGTGTGTGTGTAAAAGTGTACTTATGTATATTGAAATGTGTGTATGTTAAAATGTGTAATGTATAGAAAGCTTCTGTGTGTGTAAAAATGTAATTGTAGTTAAATATAAGGTAGCATTTAATGAAACAAGATTTACAATTATTTTATGGATTATTTATTTTTACGGTTGGCTTTTTTTTTTTTTTTTTTTGCAGTTGCCAATTAGTGTCTAGAATACTGTCAAACGAAAAATAAAATTGTACTTTTAAATTTCGTTTTTTTTTCCCTCTAATGTTTAATCTGACGCCGACACCCCCACCCTCCCCCCTGTCGCTCCCTTGTGCAAATAATAATTCACCTCTGTGCGAGAAATTATTTTACCGCAGCGCGGTCTAATCGGAGTTTTACAGTAACTGTCAGTGACCCACATTTCCGTGCCCCGGTCACCACGTTATGTACCTTTACCTGTGCTCTACTGAGTATGGCGCATTGCCAAAGCTAACTATCGCTTCGGCGACCGGCTCGTAAAATATATATTTTTTTTTTTTTAAATAAACTTGAATTTTAATAGGTTTTGACGGGTATATCACATTCTCTCGCTGGAGATGAATCGTCGTGTGAAGGCATTCATTACTGGGGAGCCAGATACGACGTATAGGGGAGCTGATTCATCTACATAAGTCTCAAGTTTAAATTGTCGTTCTTTTTAAATGAGATTTTTTTTTTTTTTACTTTATCTTGAACTATATACGCATAGGTGCCTATTTAATACATTAAAGTTATCTGTATTTTTTTTTTAAATTTTAGTTTAATATAGTAATATATACTTACATATATTTTAATTACAATTTATTTAAATCACTAGGCATGCTGCCCAGCTTCGCTTAGGCTTTCGAAAACATTGAGAATTTGCATGCTTAATTAATTCGCCCGAGGGTCGGTCTACGACCTCAAGAGTTATGAAGAGGTTTAATCCGTGGACATTTTTTTTCGATTTATAGCTCATATAAGGTACCGGTCAGTCGAGGTCAGTTTTGACCCCCTCATCGTAGACTTTTCGGCCAACCGGCCCCCGTGTTCTGTCGCCCCAAGGCAAGATCCTGCCAAATTTGAAGCGCCTGCGGCGCCGGGAAGTGCCCTATCGGACACCCGACAATCTAGATCTAGATCTAGATTCCTAAAAGAATTTTTTTTTAAGTTTAGCCCGAGCATAATAAAAATAAATACATTAACCAAGTTGACTTGGTGTGTCTCGAACCCGCACCACCTGCGTGGTTTAATGTACACTAACATCTTCGCTTTTTAGGCAGATGACGTCAATAGTTAATGTATAAGCAATAGTGACGTCACAGTTTTATGCGTTCTTTTTCACATATATTAATGCTTTTCCGGTTGCATAAATAATACTGTTTCTCTACATTCGAATACGCCTTAAATTTTTATTTTTCTTCTTTAAATAAAATTGTGGTTATACATTTAAAACATCTAACATATTATTTTCAACAAAAGTCCGTAAAAAATTCTCGATATATCGCTGCCGATTCTGACGTGATGTCCGGCGAAAAATTTTTGCGGACAGAGAAAGAGAGAGAGAGAGAGAGAGAGATGTGCGCACATTGGGCTTTTATAAATTAGGATTTAGTTTTATTTCTTTACGTATTCACTCAATCACACCCCCCCCCCCCCCACACACACACACACGAACATAGGTCCCAACTTCTCACGTGATATTTCAGTTCAAATATCAATAGCTGTATCAGTATGTGGGATTTTATGTTCTAAAAATATTTTATTAAAGCAATTTTTTTTTAATCCTGCGACTAACGTGTTCACGTGAATATGACACGAACCCCCCCCCCCTTTACCTCCCCTCCCTCCCGCTACACCACAGGCCTGTAATCTAATTTAGTTCATGGCCTCGGCAACCCCCCAACCCGCCGTTGACCTGCCCCCACCGTATTTCTTGGCCTCTCTTCTTCGTTGCCCTTTCCAGCTTAATCTAGGTCTCGCGCGAGTATAAGCGGATACGGTAAACCTTCGCGTTTTTCGGGCTTGTCTATTACGCCATAATTGGAGCTTACTTTTTAAACTGATCTACAATAAAAGTTATATATTCTCGTCTACGTTTATTTGACCCTACACGTATACAACCAAGAACACATTTTTTTGTAATGCTTTAATACAAGCCCTTTTTGTCATTTTTCAAATAACGGTTTTAGCTGAAATCTAAGTTCGTTTTCTACATTTAAAAATGTGTCAATTCATTGATTTTTAAATTAAGATTTTCTGTTTTTAAATACAAGTCGGGTTTTACAGTTAATAAATCAACACTAGTATCTCTATGTTAATTAATTGACAGTATTTATTTAAAGAAGTTGTTTACATTTTACATGTATTGAATAATTAAAATTATTAAATTAAAATTATTTTTAAATATTAAAAATCATAAAGTTTAAAAAAAAGGAAATTGATCGATTGAAATCGTGAAAAGTGCGTTAGAAAATATGTTCTATTTGATCATTTTTATTTCTATATTTTTTAGTCTTTTTATTTTTTATTTAATTGAAACGATCAAATTACTAGAGACATGTTTTCAGCAGGTGTACTGTATTTAAAAAAAAAATAATGTCCAACCATGGAAAGGGGAGGGAATTACTTGTCGAAAACCTTGGCCTAGGCTTGGTTATCTCTCCTTCTCTATTCCATCACCAACTCTCCCTCCTTCCCCCGCCCCGCTACTTTCAATAGCCGAGCCTCGTCGATTGGCCGTCTCGCGGCGTCGCGGCACGGCGGGCTGCCGGTTCCGCGCACACCCGACGGCCTAGATTTTTTCAGGTCAACCCCAGAACACATAGATGGCCTCATGAAGTAAGTCTCACAGCGAGCCGCGCATTGCCAGAATGGCAGTTTAGGGAGCACGTGACGGGGGCTTTGTGCATTGACTGTGTTTTATTCTTAGACCGGATTGTCGTATGCTGACATTTTCAGTGTGAGCCTGAGTTGCACGACTTGTAATTGTACAGTCAGGTACAATTGCGGTTATCGTCGTTGTATTGACGTGTCTTTCATCCCGTCGTTTGTCTAAATATAGTGTTAGTGATTATTTCAGTGGCAGATTCTGGAGATTTTAAAAATAGTTTCCTGTGGGATTTAAATATTCGTTTGTGATGATTCAGTGATGTAAATAATTACTTTAGTCACTAATTAGATCTAGATTCCAGATCTAGGATCTAGTACTAATAACTAGATCTATACATTATTTAGATTGTAATTACAATTAATAGATCTAGATCTATCACTTTTCAAATTTTAATCTTCATAGATCTACTAGATCTAGTTACTTTAAGTAACTAGACTCTAGATTCTAGATGTAGCTAAGACTTTACTAAGAGAAATGATACATCGTCTAAAGTTATTTTAGTAATTTTAAAATAGTTTAACTAAATTAATGTCATTTTTAAATTAACCGAATCGAGAACTTTTTTTTTGAAGTGTATCTGGCATAGATCTAGACTAGATCTACTATTAAACTTTTAACCAATAGGCCAGGATACCGTATTTTAAATTAACTCTTCGGGTTGTAATTTATTGAAATCCAAACTAGAATATTTTATTTTTAAATTGTTGAAAAAAAAATATTGAGGGCCTATGCACAATATAATTATTAATCATTCACCACTAGAGTATCTACTCTATATATCTAAAACTTGTAGGCATAATTTCTGCAAACAATTTATTAGTTTATTCTCCTACTCTTGGAAGATTATATTCATTTGTAGATTAATTTTGAATAATTAAAAGCTAATTGGGTACAAATCAAATAGATCTTAATTTTTAGAACAAAACTAAAACATGGCTAAATGAAATAGATCTCGAAATCAGGGCAAAATAAACTTGTTTTTTGTACTTGCGAATTTTTTTTTTCTTTTCTACTAATCTAATTAATATTTTAATGAACGCGAATATTTTCATCAGCAATAGGGTCGGGTGAATAACCTTTTTTTTTTCATTAATCTCGTACTTGGCCTTACTTTTTAAACCGCAAGCCTCGAGACCGACGGCAAAGTAGGAGCTAAAATAAAACCCGGCTTGTTCGCAAATACCGGGCTTGGTGGCGAGGGTTGGGGGGGGGGAGTGTGGCGGATTATTGAAGCTCGTAGTTATTAATAAACCTTGGCACCGACCGCAGACTACTGACGTTAGCTTAGCTGGTAACCCGTTAGATTGTCAGCGAGTTGTCGTGTGACAAACGTGTCCGGGAGACTTCAGACAGTCACAATGCTTGAGTCGGGTCTCTGAAGGGCCCAAGTCATACTAAGTTTGTACCGGAGTATAAAAAGACTATTCAAATGAGACACCCCCTTTCCCTTGTAAATCTTTTCACCACTAGACTAGCCCTTGTACCATTGCATTCAGTGTGAAGTGCATTGGCATGCTTAGATTTTTCTAGATCTTTTGATCTCCTGAATTAGAATTGAAATTCATACTTTAGATACTTTCGCTCTTAATTAATAATTAGTGCTATGCCGTTAATAGCTAGTTCTTTGTAAGCTCTTGATTTTACAATAGTTCTAAATCTGCGTTTAACTATTTTAGTTGCACCGTTTGAATTTACCTTGTAAATTATATTATTAAGGGTTAAATGAAAGTAAGGCTTTATAATATTAATTGTGTGTCTGAAAAATAGTTACATGAAAAAAATTTAAAAGTCCATGTTTTTATATAAACCAACTTTTCTCTAAAACGAAAATAGTGATCAAACGGTACCCACGACCAAGACATTATTTCTGTGACAATTTGTGAAGTTTGTTGACAAAAAAAAAAACCTAACGAGAGACACAGTGTGTGTGAGTGATTCACTGGATTATCTCAAGGCCGGTGTGAATGTCCCATTGAATGGTTGGATGTTACCCAATGGCCGATCAGTTTGGATACCCGTGTAACATTGACGCCCCCGGAGCACCACAATGTCTTTATTCCGCTTTTCAGGAGATGGGTATCAAAGATGAGTTCCACCAGAAGGCCATCCTCGTGTGTATAGATGAGCTGTGTGGGCAGCAGACTGAAACGGTGAGTACACTTTTTTTTTTACCAGCTTTGTTAAAGTAATTAATAAAATTACGAGTGGTTTATCTTTAGATTGTGTTGTTGGTTAATCTGAGGATTAATTTTCTTGATATATATTTTTTTTTTAAATTCAAGGAGAAAAAAAACGTTTTTATAATCATGACGAATATCTTAATGTCTAATCTTAATTGTTATCAGTTGTTTCGTGTTTTAGATAAATTCTAAAAATTGGTTCAAATTCTTTGATTAGATTAAAAGATTCCAACTACTCATCCCATACCACGCCACTATAGTCCTTAGACCTTAAATCACGACCCATATCATGATGTAAAGTCTTAAAACTAAAGCCCCTAAGGTTCTGACGTGCATGCTAGGCCCAATGCTTCTCCATTTGGCAACCATACCCAGCGTCGTTTTTTTTTTTTTTTTTAAATTTAAAAAACAAAGTTCTGAAGCAACAATCGCTAACAATCTGTGCAAACATTAAGTCGAATACAAAGCCCAAATTGTATGTGCAAACATAAAGCCCAAATATTGTGTAGAGTTCTTTGAATCAAATGGCGATGTTAAAAGTGCAGCCCCCATCTCATTGTGAAGTAACAGTTGAAAAAAAAAATTTCTCGACTGTTCGGTACGGAATTACCTCACCATTTCTTCTCCTCCCTCCCTCGCTTCCCCTCCCTCCAGGCCACAAAGTGCAGCTGTTATTTAGAAGAGAAGAAAGTTGTTTGGGGCTAAAGTCAACATGTACCACATGTCTTCAAGTCAAGATTCTCATGCATCTTATAAAAGTGCCTCTGACCTCAGAGTCTGTATGGGGGAGGGGGTGGGGGGTCCTAACATTCCTCGCGCGAGCATCTTTGTGGATTAATACTATATACTATACTTTCTCACACGCAACTACGCCTAGATGAAACGAGTCGTCGCGACTTGTACCACATCCCCCCTTCACCGCTCCATGCCGGCGCCCCCCCCCCCCCCCTTTCACCGCTCCACTTCAACATTTTTCTCGGTAAAATAAACGCGACCATTGCTCAGGAAAAATCTATTTTTGCCCGGGTCAGTTTGCCTTTTGGGGGCGAAGTGGCGACCTGGACTATCGTATTTCGGCATCCGTGCTCGATGGGATCTCTGGGAGCAAGGTTACGCCAGGTCACAGCCGGCTGGCCGTAGCCGGCAGTTTGGTGCATTGGTCAATGGGGCTGTTGAAAAAGCTTTCTCCTCTGGTTCGTGAATCTTCCGACACACGGAACTATACGAGGCCGAGACGTGTGTCGAGGGTTTAAAAAAAGTGATGTCTCATATTTCATTTTCATTAATCTCGCACAATCTTTTAGCAGGGGTAAATTATAATGAAATTTTTAAAAAAAACACCGCCGTCCTAATGCACTATTCGTAGCTGGTGCATGAAAACAACACGTTTCAATAGTTTTACCACATTAAACATTTCAAATACTTATTTTCATATCATTTATTAGTCTTAATAACATCATAATACAATACATCTTCTTTCCCCCCCCCCCCCCCCCCCCCTCCACCTCGTCCCTTTTTTCGGCCGTATGATCCAATCCAACGTAACGTAGCTTCGTGTTTTCCACCATGGCCCGGGGCTGTATGTGATGTACTAGAAGGTCGCCTTAACTCTCCTCAGATTAACAGATTAAAAAACGTGCGCTTTGTCTTGTGTTTTTTTTCTCCCCTTCTGCCTGCCTTGTCTTTGTGTGTTGGGGGGATGACATGCATTACGTGGGCAGTGTGCTGGGGTTATTTTTAGACTGGAATTTTCCCAAACGTGCACAACCACCCTTTACCGTCTGTAGTTTCGGTAATCCAACGTTGACTCGATTGGGGGGGGGGGGGGGGTGTCTTAAGGCGTTTTAAACTGAAGTGGGAATAATTGGGGGTCTCAAGGCTTTTTAACCTGAAGGTGTAAAATTTTATTGTTTAAAAGAAAAATTAATTGTTAAAAAAAAATGACGATTTTATTGTCAATTTAAAACGGAAATAATATCTGTAAGGGTTCGAGAAATAAAGATGGCCACCTGCGATTGCTTATTGTTTGATCAGTTCATTAAGGTTACATTGTCCCCAAGGTCCGTCCCTCCCACCTCCACCCACTCTGGAGCAAGTCCAGAAACTTGAGTTGAACGTTTTATCAATTGTGTTGCTGGCAGGCAAGAAATAATTGGCGCGTCCGGCCGGTGCACAGCGCAGGCCTTTTTTTTTTTTCACCTTTAAGTCGGAAGGTGGGCCTTGAAAACCTAACTGCGCAGTTGTCGCCGACCTTGGATTGAAACACAAGGATGTGCATATCGTTTTGTGCATGGCTTCAAAAAGTACAGCTCCCCCCTCCCTCCCCCTGCCTACCGGTGCAGGGTGGAAAAAGTTTGAGGCCACAAGCGGCCAAAGTGGGGCGTATGACGTCATTTCCACACGCGCGCGCGGTGGAAATTTTTCCTTTTTTAATTTTTATTTTCACTGAAGGATATGATAAATTGAAATGTGCTAATGTTAAAAAAAAGAATTTGCTGTCTGCATTTTTTTTTTTTTTTTGTAGGAAGGTTCGAGGTAAACTGAATTAGGAAGTTACTGCGAGGTTGTGTGTTGGAAATTTGTAAGTCGCCACAGGTGTGACCGAATTCTATTTGCAGCTTTCGTTATTTGTATCCGCTGAATACATGTAGTTTTCATGGGATGGCGCTTTACGTATGGTTTTGGGTCTATAGGGGCCCCCATGTGTGGTTTGGGTTTGCGGCGTACCTAAATGGGTTTTGGATTGTGGGCCCTATACATGCCTTGGTTTTGTGGGGCCTTTATATGTGGTTCGGGTTTGTGGGCCCCTATATGTGATTTAAATTCTAGGGGCCCCTAAATTTTTTGGTTTCTGGAGCCTATTTAATATGCCTTGGTTTTGTGGGGCCCCCAGTTAACATTGTAGTCTTTATGCGTCTGTGTAGTCACTTAAAAAAAGGTCTGGCCGGCGACTTGAGATGTTGGGCTTTAATAGAAACAGAATTACTCTACTTCATCTAGAATAAAACACCTCCAGGGTTGGTCGAATGACGTGTGCAGTATCGATGTCATCTTCTGAACATTTTTGACAAATAATAATCGATCCGATTGATGAGTATTAATTAGGTCATGTCAATCAGGGTGATCAATATTAATTGGGTTTTTACCAGGCTACTGAGCGAGCTGAGCCTGACCTTTGAAGCGACAGGTTACCTGCTCTTGCTTCCTCGTGTCCTTTAACTCGCGCTTACTTTCTCCCCTCGATACCTCTCCTTACGGAAGCGATTTATCAAGTAGGTCTGTGTCATGGGCTGAACCCACCCCCCCCCCCCCATTACCACATACCTAATTTACCATGCTTATCTCATAGCCACCTCCCTCCAATCAAATCAACAGACACACAATTTATGTCTGTGTCACGGGCCGACCCCCCCCCCCCTCACTAAACACCCAATTTAGTATTCTTATCTCATTGTCTCACCCCCCCCCCCCCCCCCTAATCATCACAATTTAGTTTATGTCATGGTCCTATTTCTCTTCTCCACCAACCACACGAACGCTATCTTCCATCTTGCCTTTTTTGCACTAGCATACAACTCCCAATTTAACATAAATCCGTAGGCGCTGCGAGTGGGGGGGGGGGGGGGGGGGGGGGGGGGTATTTCTACGTCTGATGAATTATAATTACAAAAAAAACTTACTAGTTGACAGCTGGTAAACTTTTGATCTAAGAATGTGGGCATCTCTCCTCTTATATCCCCCCCCCCCTTTTTTTTTCCTCCTATAAACCTAGCTATTTTCTGTGTATTTTAAAGTAGCTTATGTTGTGACACTATGTTGTAAATAAAGTGGTGTGTTTTTTTTTTCTGTCATTCCAGCAACGCTACGCATCATCATTACCTCCCCCTGGACACTGTCTTGTAGATATGGAAGGTAAGTCGTTCTTTCTTCACCCCGTGAGTAACTTAAAAGTAGTCATGGGTGTACTTTTTTTTTTTACATGTGCTAGGTTTGCTAAAAATAATCCCACTCTTTGCTCATTCCCTATACCCCGCTTGACTGTGATGTCCGTCTTTTTAAAAAAGAATGTTTAAAATCAATTTTTAGATAGTTGAGTGTTTATTACGAAATTTTTGTCGTTTTTCAAGCCCCAGTTACATCGCAAATGATGTAATGTATTAGTTCATTAGAAAAGGTTAAAATGTTTCTGTATTCTGGTTATAAGTTTTATGTTAACGCTGTAGCCACAGATTTTTAAAAAAAATTAGATTAATAAGCAGCTTCATAAAAATACTTACCTGGGATATTACCAGTATATTTTTTTCATTCGTGGCAATTAGCCGTGCCCCCGGGCAATGGACATAGGTCTTGTCGTGACGTAATGCTGAAAGATTGCTTTCAAGCTGATCCGGGCAAATTTTACCCTGGGAGAGGGAGGGGGTTGAGACACGCGAGATCGTGAGCGGTCTGTCGGTCTCGTGTAAAAAATTGTGTCACCTCGGCGTTTATTGATTCAGTCACCGACGGCAGTGGCGAGGGTCATGGAAACTAAGTTACTCTCACTTACCACCCGGCTGTTTCTCCCCCTCCCCCAGTCGTCGCCTGCTATTGTATGCCTGAGTGCGTGTACTAGGAAGCACGATCTTGTTATGATCATGTTATTCATTCGTGAATAAAGAGGCTGATACTTTTCCATTTTAATATTCACTTTAACTAACATAAATGCTAGATTAAATCCTGCCCTCGTTTTATGTGACCATCATACTTGTAACCTAGCGGATTATTACCTTTTTTTTTTTTTAACAAGGCAGTAACATACAAAAAAGTACAATAACAAATTCTTTTTAAGTCAAGGAGTTTTCTCTTATTTTATCAATGCTATCTATACTGACCTTAAGCTCAGCACATTTATTGTAGCTGTGAGCACACACCTCCCAATATGTTGTGTTAAGAAGGGGTTCGGTGAATATGCAAACAAATCTGACGAGGTTCAATACCTCCAAAAAGGTGAAGAACCACTGCCTTAGATGCTTGTTTTTAAAAGGGCACCAAACCTTAAGACCCACACAAATATTTCCATTTTACAGCACTCAACCCATGTTTATACCAATCTGAGAGGTATTCCACCCCACACAGCTCACCTAACTAAATTAGTTTTATCTCCTCTTCTCTCTTTCCTCCTCCGCCCCCCCCCCCCCCCCTGTATACCCCGCGCCCCTGTATACCACCCCACAGTCTGGCTAACCAACTGAATGTTTTTATCCTCTACCCCCCCCCCTGTATACCACCCCACAGTCTGGCTAACCAACTGAATGTTTTTATCCTCTACCCCCCCCCCCCCCCCTGTATACCACCCCACAGTCTGGCTAACCAACTGAATGTTTTTATCCTCTAACCCCCCCCCCCCCCCCCCCCTGTATACCACCCCACAACCTGGCTAACCAACTGAATGTTTTTATCCTCTACCCCCCCCCCCCCCCCCCTGTATACCACCCCACAACCTGGCTCACCAAGTGAATGTTTTTATCCTCCAGCTGCAGCAGGAGACTCTGAGCACAGATTTGCTGAGTACAATTTTTCCTCCATGCAAAGATGCCATGTATGTGACAAGTTCCTATACGGCCTGGTCCGTCAGGGTCTACAATGTAGGGGTGAGTCTCCCACACACTGTCCTCTCCTTAACAATCTCTGTGCTTAAGTTTACAGAAAAAAATTGTAATTATAAATATCCAATTCTTCATTGAAGTTTCTGTCAAATTAATCAAGTCTGAGATGTAAATTGGAATTTTTTTTCAATAATTTTTAACCAAAGCTTTGTTTACAATGCCGAGTAGTTGATAAACCTGAGGCATATTTTCCCCTAATCCACCGTGCTTGCCCTCCACAGAATGTGGCATGTGCTGCCACAGGTTCTGCCACGCCCAGAGACCCACAGAGTGCAATGTACCTGTTCTGGAAAGGTTGCGGCGACCCAGCTTCACCAGTAGTGAGTCTCTATTTTAAAAAAAAACAAATCTCTCCTTCTCTTCAGCCTGTTAACCACCTCTATTATTAACGTTCGCCTTAATTAAATTTATTTGAAGAATCTTTCCTGGTTTTATGACAGTATTTTTTTTTTATCTGGATGCTATTTTCATGTGTTAAAATTGTTATAAATAACCTGTACCTTTTTAGTACAACTTTTTTATATTTTTTAGTTGAAATACTCTACACGTTTTTTTTTATATTCAACAAAAAAATGTCTGTTTCTATTTTGGATGTAAATTTTTTTTTTAAATTATAATACTTTTGATTGTTTACTCGTTTCAGATTCTGTATTTGGATCTGAGCTGACAGACGAGGTTGAGAAGTCCTGTATGGAAGCCCCTTGGGTCATCGTTAAGTGTGTGGAGGAAATTGAGAAATGGTGCAAAATACACAGTATGTTTTTGTGTTCTTTCAACTGATTGCTTTTATTTTTATGTTGAAGTTTTGGCCTGTCTGGTTTCCTAATAAATTTTGTTTTTTAATTTGATGTAGTTTTGGATTAACTTTGATTTTTTTTTTTGTTTTAGAATCTGAAGCATTGAGCATATACAGGCTGTCAGCTCGTACAGAAGAAGTGAATGAAATTAAAGCTGCTTTTAATATGGGTAAGCGCTCGGCTTTCAAGTTGTTGTTTTTATATGAATAAATTGATTGAAGCTAAGTTATTTCTACATGCTAAATTAAAGCTTGTTAAGTCGATACACAATGTAATTTACACTGAACGATGTAGTTCTCAGTTGCAGCCCTCTCTACTTAGATGCTACAAACTTTTCTAAATCCATCTCAAAAAATCAATAACTCATGGGAAAACAATGTAACCTTTTTTTTTAAAAACCATATGAAGCCAGAAATTTTCAGAAACTGTGTCAGTTCTAGAAGGTTCTATTTTTTTTTTTGGTAGTATTTGTATTTACTTCAAGATATTTTGTCGACAACATTTTTTTTTAAAGCCTGTTTTTGTAGTTTATCCCACCCAGCCTGTCTGACTTGCTGGAACATGTTTTTGGGCTTTTATATACGCGGAGAATAAATTAAATTAGCTTCTCAAAATAATTTAATTTACAAACTTGTATTTAAATCTAAATGGGAGGGGGGATTCAATTCAATAAGCTATTAGCAGCTTGTATTTAGATTTTTAAAAATGCCAGCTGAGCTGTTAGGACCTTAGCTGTGGATAATGCCAATTGAGGAAAAAAGTCTTGCGATCTAATGCCATTACAGAAGAAAATGTCTTGCGATCTAATGCCGTTACAGAAGAAAAAGTATTGCGATCTAATGCAGTTACAGAAGAAAATGTCTTGCGATCTAATGCCATTATAGAAGAAAATGTCTTGCGATCTAATGCCATTATAGAAGAAAATGTCTTGCGATCTAATGCCGTTACAGAAGAAAAAGTATTGCGATCTAATGCAGTTACAGAAGAAAATGTCTTGCGATCTAATGCCATTATAGAAGAAAATGTCTTGCGATCAAATGCCGTTACAGAAGAAAATGTCTTGCGATCACAAAGTACATGACAACCAAGTCTCGCTACCACCCTGGGGTTATCAGCCTAGGGTTTATCAGATAAGAGAAGTCCACCCCACCCCATGTTCAGTTAGATTTCTAAAAGTGCAGGCTGTATCTCTGGTTGGTTGTGACACACTTAGTCAGGCGGTGGAACTGTGTCAGTCTCATGCCACTGTTTGTACAAGCCACAGTGACAGTGGTCTTATCTAGTGTTTACTTTCTGTGCCTGTAAAGTTCTGTACTTGCTGGGGGTGATGTTTGCTTACTTGATAGTGTTGTTGAATAGTCTTCAGAATAATAAATGATAAAATAAGCTGATAAATTTCTGTCGATTTTACTCTATCCAATGTTTTTAGCACTTTAAATATGTTTTTAGCACTCTATTCTCCTCTCTCTACTCACAATGTGACCTCTGATAAATTACCAGAAATTGCCTAGCCAAAAAATTTACTTGGGGCACATTAGCTAAAAAATATACTTGGGGCCCACTAGCTGATAATTAGCTGGGGCTCAAATGCTGATAATTAGCTGGGGCCCACTAACTGATAATTAGCTGGGGTCTACTAGCTGATAATTAGCTGGGGCCCACTAGCTGATAATTAGCTGGGGCCCTCTAGCTGATAATTAGCTGGGGCCCTCTAGGTGATAATTAGCTGGGGCCCACTAGTCAATTAGCTGGGGACTGTATTGTATTAGCAGTACTCAATATTTTGATATAGATACAAACACATTTTGGGCCACCATTGCTACAGCCTAGTCAAGTCGCCACATTAACCTGCCACTGCTTCATACAGGTGTTGTTGTACTTGCAGGTATTGTTGTACATACAGGTGTTGTTGTACATACAGGTGTTGTTGTACTTGCAGGTATTGTTGTACATACAGGTGTTGTTGTACATACAGGTGTTGTTGTACATACAGGTGTTGTTGTACATACAGGTGTTGTTGTACATACAGGTGTTGTTGTACATACAGGTGTTATTGTACTTACAGGTGACCAGGAGCATGTCAACCTGTCCAGCCATGACGTCCACTCTATAGCCGGTGCATTGAAAAAATACCTTAGAGAGCTGCCCAACCCGGTGATACCTGTAGAAATGTACAGTACTTTTATTGAAGCTGCCAGTAAGTTGCCAGACCATATAACTTTACACCACTTGTTAGTTACGTTTTTGTGTTCACGTCTAGTCTATTTTTTTTATGATTCTGTCACATAGAAATAAAAAAAATAAAATTGATTTTTTAAGTGATATTAGTAATTATTTTGTAAAAACAATGTAAAAAATTAAATTAAATTAAAATGATATTAATTTAATTGTTTTGTTAAAAAAAAATATTAAGGTGATAATAATTCTAAAATTCTAATTGTTTTGTAAAAATAAAATTTTAAAAATAAAATTGAATTAAGTTGATATATAAATTATGTTTTGTTAATAATTAAAATATGAAATTTAAAATATTAAATGATTTTATTAAAGGCATTACTTTTTTTAAAATCAGAAGAATTAGGTCAAACATCCGGTGCAGTGTCTGTGAAATCTGTGGTAGAACTGGTTGATGAGATGCCCCCCGCCCACAAGTCCACCCTCACCTATATATTTGCACATTTTGCTCGCCTGTGGAGGTGGCAGTTTGAGTCTGATGTTGTTGATGGCGTGGAGAAAGTCCTACATGTCTTCTGCCACATCTTGCTGCGCCCGCCCTGGGAAAGAATCATGTAAGTAGTTAATGAACTCGTTAATTAACCAAACCCACATTTTCCACATTGAAAACATGGCTGGTGACAAAGGATTCAGCTTTAAAGCTGACCCTGAATCTAACCCTTTAGGTTAGAGAATTTTCACTGGTGTAGCTTGCAATATGTAAATATGGGTGTGGTTAATGGATAAAAATAATTATTTGTCATCTTTTTAAATTACATTCTCTTCCGCCTTCAGTTCTAATTTCAGTGTATCAACTTTCTTGCTCGGCTGGTTCTTGCTTCAATTTTAGAAATCTTTTTTTTAAATCCTATGTTTAAGTGTTTGTGTTAAGTAAGTAGGTTTAATAGCAAACAGATTTTCTTAAAATTAGTTTAATTTGTTTGAAAAAGGTAAATTTGCACCTTTTTTCATTTCCCATGCTCAGACCCTTTCACACGTGCGCACACACACACACCTCTAACAGTATTTTTAAACTCTTTTGTTTCCCCACCTGTCATGGTCTGGATACATTACTTGAACTCTTAACTGCTTAGGCCTAGATCTCTGTGGCTAATCGCTTGAAATCTTTAAAGTACAAATCAATTAGGCTTTAAATTGGTCTGGGGGATGGAGAAAAATGTAGTTTAAAATCCCGCTAGGTCAGGTTTTTATTTTAATCAGCATAAAATGTGGAGGTTAAAAATACTGGCCCAGATGCTCTTTTCAAACTTTCAGCATTTGAACTTTGTGTATACACATTTTTTTATAAACCTTTACAAGAAGTGAAAGGATGTTTGCTTGTGAGCTTAAAATAAAACTTAAAATCTTCATCACCATTTTTAGTACACTAATACACATAAACACACGCACATAAGGGTTGGGGGGGGGGGGGGGATAATTAAATCAGTAATGTGAATTTTTTAAAAATTTAATATAAATAGCACTTATGTAGAGCATTTAATTTCTAATTTAAATTCTGAGTGGCCTTGGACTTGCTAAACATTGATTATTTCCCCTTGCTCTGTTCAAATCAGAACGGGTTGCACTTTTCACGGGATGCGGGGAGAGGGGGAAGGGAGGGGATGTTCGCACTGTTAGGGAAAGCTTTGGTCAACTTGAGGTCTCTGTTACTGGATGTTGTCAGGGGTGAACTGATTGTGTCATCACGAACTGGGTAGGATGAGAGTGATTTGGTCTGATCCTTGGGCATAGTGCAGTGTTAGGTCTTACAGTAATGTCAGTGGTGTTGGGTCATACATTACCCTCAATGGTGTTAGGTCTTACAGTACCGTCAATGGTGTTAGGTCTTAATGCAGCCATCAATGGTGTTAGGTCTTTTTGTAACTTCTAGTAGAGTTAGGTCTTTATGCCACCATCACTGGTGTTAGTTCTTTATGCAACCATCACTGGTGTTAGGTCTTTATGCAACCATCACTGGTGTTTGGTCTTTATGCCACCATCACTGGTGTTAGGTTTTTATGCAACCATCACTGGTGTTAGGTCTTTCAGCCAGTTGTAAAGTTCGTAGTTCTCTTGTCACTCTTCATTTGAAAGTCTATAACTGTTTACAATGAAGAAAGAGTAAAAAAAAAAAACCACTTCTAAAAGCATGCAAATTTAAAAGGTTGGCAGCCTCGTGCTTGTTGCAAACCCCCTGGGGCTGCTTACATTCACACTGACATAACTTCAGTGGTTCTAAAATTCTTCAACTCTAAGCACTCAACCATGAGATTTAGATCAACACACGTTTCAGTTTTCTCATTCAGAAATGTAAACCTCATTTAGTGGTTTCTCTTGCTGCACTTTCCACCACTCGTGTACTGTTATTGGTCCTCATTGTCGCAAGTCATTCAATCCATGTTTACATTATTATTTGACCCGGTCCTCTAACTTCTGTATCCTGTAATTGTATGCGCTGTTTGCTTGAACTGCAATATAGATCAATGATCCTATCGCGCAACTTTTGTAGCTTGCGACTTTTGTGCCCTGCAACTTATGTGCCCGTGTGTCGTTGCTGCGTACTAGTATCCTGCAACTTTTGTGCCCTGCAACTTTTGTGCCCTGCAACTTTAGTGCCCTGCAACTTTTATGCCTTGCAACTTTTATGCCCTGCAACTTATGTGCCCGAATGTCGTTGCTACGTACTAGGATCCAGTGGATGAGTTCACCAACTACTACTATTGCGGATATTGTGGTTGTTGAACTGTCCCAAGAAAATAGTAAACACCAAAGCCCCCAATGAACGTGGAACGTGAGGACCACTGTATGTAACTGTTCGTGTCGCCCTACCGCAGCCTCTGCTATTTTTATCTTGTCTGTCTCCTCTCAAATTGTCTTGTTACATTGGCGTTTATGGTATTGCTTTTCGTGGATGGGGTAGGGGGGGGGGCTACGGTTTGGGGGTGGGGTATAAGTCTTGAACTTTAAAGCACACCTTGACTCAGGTAAAAAAAAATGGGGGGGGGGGGGTGGAGGGTAAAAACAAGTGGGTATTAAGATCAGTTGCTGGCTTGTTGAGGTTGTGAAAGGCTATTGAGCCGGATGTGATAGATGGCAGATTAGTTAATGGCTAACACGTGTTGCCGCGTACCTCAGTGTTACGGTCAGTTGTTTGGCTCGTGCTGTTATTTGAAAGTTTGTGGGGGTTTTGGATAAATAGACCACACCACCGATATGGAGGAGGTGGGGGGTGTTATTTTATTACGGAGCCTGTAAGAAAATCTAACGTGTCTTCTATGTTCCCACATCCCCCCTCCCCACTACAGCTAAGACGTGCTGTAGTGTCAAACACTATTGTCACACAAGGGCGTAATTTCCCTATTTCTGTCAAAGCGAACAAGTATTTGGTATAAGGGGAAAGAATGCTGCTTTTTTTCCCCCTTCGCGCCCGCGTGGTTGTGTATTGCGTAACATCCGGCTTCGTTTTTTTTTTTTTTTAAATCTACGAACATTCTTGCCCGTGCATTGCACTGATATTGAAGATGGCGCTCATCTCATGGCTTAGAGCCAGAAATTTTTTTTTTTTTTTTATCTTTAAAGTGTTTTGAGAGGGCGAGGAAAGATAAATTTTAACGTTAAAAAATTGAGGTAGACGACCAAATCTAACCCTCTTTTCCCACTTCTCCCCCAATGTAAAGCTATTCGTAACTTCTTTCTATTCTATGCCCTGTTGTGCGTCGCGTTAAGAAATAATAGGTTGAATATATTACATGGACGTATGGAGCAGCCAAATGTTTCATCAACTGTAATCGGTTTTAGCGCTGTTCTGCTCTATTTCACGTGAAAGCGACAAAACGTTATTACAATGCCCTTGGCGCATCGGTCACACGGCACATTTTTCAGCCAATGGTAGCGTAGGACAACCGGTTCGGGCGTAGGGGAAGGGGTGGGGTAGAAAGGAGAAATGAGGTTAATGGGTCGAACGGAGAGAATAACTCACTATTTTTTTTTTGGTAAAGTAAAATATATTCTCATGATAACTGTTAACGGTGTTAATAGATTGTGTCTAGTGTTTTATTTCAGTTAATAATGTTGGCTTGAATACGTTAGCCTATCTTGGGTCGTTATTGGGAATTTTTTAAAGGTTTCACAATTTAGGCCTACACCGCAATAGCCTCGTTTACCGAGTGAGCTGTATGGTGATTTCTTACAGCTTCTTTTACAACAAATGCTAGTCAAATCAGTTTGGACTAAAATTTAAATGTATTTTCTCATCTGTGACATCTCTCCTAATTAAAAATCACAATAAATTATTATCACTGCTTGTAGACTGTAACGGTTGCCCTAGATACGACAAAAGTGGGTCACAAGATATATAGCATCCGCTTTGCTATTTTAAAAAAAAAACGGTGTCACTGAACGCCGTTTTTATTTAGTCATTCACCACACTCCTTGCCCTAAACTAACCTCACCCCAACCGTGACCTCAATCCGGCGATTGCACAATTTTTAACCGTCTTTGTTTTAGTGGAACCGTCTTTCAAAATACATTGCTATTCTCTCTTTAGGTTGTTTTGTTTTGTTTTTCAATTTTTTAAAAAATACTGTGGTAGACATGGTGTTTCAAAATCCTAGTTGAAACAAGTGTAAGACACTAGGGGTCACTTGTAATAGTTAAAAGTATTATTATAACACATCTATAAAATTTGTGTAAAATAATCACATTTTTACAAGCAACCGAACAAGCTACTTGTAAAGTCTAAATATAACTCACTGCTCAAGTTTTAAGTGGGAAGGTGAGGACATTGCCCTCACTGTGACATGTCTTATGCTGTCATTCATCACAGTCAGCACACAGTATGTATATGACAGTCAGCGGGTCATTCAACAGTGCACTCTCTTCTTATTAATTGTAGACTTTTAATCAACATACTTTTTTTCATACACCTACTTTAGATCTGTAGTGGTGATTTTTTTTCTGTTAAAAGGCTTTTTTTTTTTTAATTAGTTTGAAAGGGTAAATTTTGTGTGCACACTTTCTCTTAAAGTTTACAACAGGATAATTTTTTGTCATAGTCCCAAATTTTTTAGACCATATAACCTGAAAAATTGTTATCCTAATCTAATAAAGCTTTAATTTATCAGTAAAATATCTGCATTCATAAAATAAATATGCTGATAGTGATAATTTTATCTTAGAGATTATCACCTGATACTTGAACCAATCAGTGAAGAGAGCCTTATTCACTGCTGTATCATCTGATACCACAAGAATAAAATTTTCTTGTACTTTACTTGTTCCATTTTTAGAACTTGCAAAGCTACCATGCTCTTGGCAGGAAGTATGCACTTTAATAAAGAAAATGTGCCCTGCACCTTGTCAAAGACCTATGGTCCCATTTTTTTTTGCCAATATTTTATTTTCTCTTGTTATACCAGAGCCAGGAGATTAGTCATGGGCTTTGGGATATGGTAGTTGAATGAAGAAATATAAGTGAATGTAGTTAAAGAAATTTTTGAATTAATGAATTACATTCTACTTGTACACTAGGGTAGATAACTTGTGAATTTTACCAGTAAAATTAATCAAGTTGAAACAGTTTTTTTTTTTTTTAAGAAAAAATGTATTAACAATCATCCACTCTAAAAGCTACCAACCCTCTCTCCCCACCCTTTAAATAGAAATGTAAATGTAGACTTGTGTTATCTCTCCTGTTGGCTGCAATCGTGAAATCTAATTCATGCTTTACCCAATAACCTTCCCTGTCTGTTTTAAGTGGAGATTTGAGTAGCTAGCTGAACACAGCAATATACTTCCCTGTAGCAGTTTGAAGTGTGAACAAAATTTACTTACTGTGTGTATTTTGTTGCTGGTTGTAGCCTATGTAGTGTATTAAGTTGTTGGTTCCTTGTAAAGCTCTGGGATACATTAGTATTTTTTATTTTTACCATTCAGGTTTTGGTTTGTTGACAGTTTGTGTTTTGTTTTTATTTCAGTGATATTGTGGACAATACTAAACTTCACATAGACATTCTGGAAGAGCTGCTTCGGAATGGTAACTGGGGAGAGTTCATGCCACCAATTCCATCCCCAAATCCAGTATTACCACCACGTAGGTTCAACTTTATTTTTCTCTACTTTAATAAGCTTTTCTGAAACATAATAAATGAGGCCTACTTTACAGTAATATGTACAGCTAGTCAAAGTAGTTTAAGTGAAATTTGTCTAATGCTGGGTGTAGTTGATCAAAGTAGTTTAAGTGAAATTTGTCTAATGCTGTGATTAAGATGGTTTCAGTGAAACTTGCCTAATGCTGTGTACAGTTGATAACATAGTTTCAGTGAAATGTGTTCAGTGGTGTGTAGCATTGACAGCCTGAATGACTGTTGACTAAGAGACTTTTGTTGAACGTCGCAGGTAGCACAAGACCAGTTGAAACCGCTGTCATGTCGCCCCAGATGACTGAGCTGAGGGATGCGGAGTGGTACTGGGGGGACATCTCCAGGGAGGAGGTCAACGAGAAGTTAAAGGACCAGCCCGATGGGACCTTCTTGGTCAGAGATGCCTCCACCCCCGGGGATTACACCCTCACTCTCAGGTCAGTACATGATCATCATAGTGGACTTAGTTATCATTTCTTTTTCTTTTTTCGTTAGCATTACAATTTTATTGTTAAATATTTTTTGTTAAATTTTTTTTCTTAACTTCGGTTTTTTCTTTAAGTTTTGTAATACATTATTGTTTTCATTTATTTTATACCACACTTTTTTATTTATATTTTACAAACGTGATGTCAAAATGTTCTTTATTTTCAAGTTGTTTTTGTTTTAATCTCTAACAGAAAAGGGGGCAGCAATAAGCTGATAAAAATACTTCACCGAGATGGCAGGTATGGCTTTGTGGAGCCCTTGGAGTTCACTTCCGTTGTCAGCTTAATTAACTGGTACCAAGTCAACTCGTTAGCCATGTACAATAACACCCTAGATACAAGGCTTGTTCATCCAGTCAGTCGCAACTTGGGCATGGTAGGTCACTTGGAGTTCTACACTTTGTACTTATAAACACCTTGCTTTATGTTGTCGATTATTTAAAACTTAGTTAAATGGGAAGCTAAATTATTTTAATTAGACAAATGTAAAAGATAGCTGGATATTTTAACAGGATGTAAAAGATATATTTTAGCTGAAATTTTCACTAATGCAGGATAATTTTAATTTGCAATTTAAGTTGAAATATTTAATATTTCAATATAAACACTTATAATTGACAATAAACGATAATTATAATTTCTTTTCCCATTATTACATTTAAAAATGTTTTTTATTTTATTTTAATGATTGAGAATCTACATTTTCTGTTGTTAAAATTGTCTTCAGGATAACCCAGAAAGCTTACAAGACATTGCCAAAGAGGTGGACACCCTCGTGAGGATAAACCGCCAGTACCTGGACAAGAGGGCCCACTACGACTCCCTGTACGAGCAGCACTCCAGGCTCTCCCAGGAGATGCAGCTCAAGCACCAGGCCCTAGATGCTTTCAAAGAAACCCTAATTGTCTTTCAAGAGCAGATGGATCTCAACAAGCGCTCCCTGTCTGAGACCTCTGGTCATGAAATGCAAAAGTGAGTTGCAGTTTAGAAAGTTTTAATAACTTTAATTAACATTTAAAAGATATTTTTTTATTAAATTATTATTTAAAAATTATTTACCTCTAATATTTTAAATATTTTTTTTATATTTACAGGTTGCAAGAGAACTTGGAGTTGTTGAAATCTCGAATGATGAGAATAACAGAGAGCAAAAGTGCTTTAGAGGTAAGTTAATTCTGTTTAAGTACATTTTGCTCTAACAAACTCTAGTTATGAATTTTAAAATTTATTGCTTCATACAAAAATGTGTTTATTTAGTTCTTATATCTTATTAATAAATTTTAAGAATTTATAATATAAAGAATTCAGTTTTCTCTGCTGGTTTAAAGTTCTTATGTCTTATTAATAAATTTTAAGAATTTATATGAATAATTTTTAGAATTTGTAATATAAAGACTTTAGTTTCCACTGCTAGTTTAAACTTTGTGATTAAAAGCCGTGAAATTTGCTGCAGGTTGATTTAGACAGGAGGTCAACAAGAAACAGACTTCTGATTGGGGAAATGAACTCCATCAAGCCAGAGATCAAAAGGTTAAACAAACAGAGAGAACAGTGGAAGAAGTGGCTGCTGGACCGCGGCAAGAAACAAGACTTCCTGGACAATTTATTGGAAGGCAGAAGAGACAAGTATGCTAGCTAGTTATTGATTTGTTTCTTTTTTATATTGATAAATTACACTTTTTAGTGATCCATTTTTTTTTTTAAATATGGGAAGTTTTTATTTTTAAATATTTCTAGACTTATTTTTAAAACATAAGCAGTTAAAAATATATTAACATTAGCTGTTTTAAAGGGCAAAATCAGCTGGGGAAACAATTCTATTTTTTGTAATGGGCTTTGTATTTTGGCAGACTGGTCTTACTTTTCTTCAAAGACATACTTGCCAGTCAACTACTTTTACTAAGTTTAAGTCCTGATCTCGCTACTGGCTATCACATTTTAAAGTTTTTGCCTTTGTCCACTTTCAGCCAAGCGGAACCAGAATATTTCCCCCACTATGATCAGTGCAACTGGCTGGTGGACTGCCAGAGACAGAGTGCCGAGTTCCAACTGAACGGCAAACCTGACGGCACGTTCCTGATTCGTCCAAAATTTGAGGAGGGAGACATCCATGTCCTCTCAATAGTGTAAGGATTTGATTTATTATTATATTATTATACCTCCAAGTTGTACACAAAGTTAGCATATTGCTAACTAGTTATTACTATTTTAAAATATGTATATATTTCTTATTCTAGTGTTCGTTATGTTGCGTAAGAATTTAATTTGATTGTGTCTGCAAATTTTAGAAAAATTAGCCTATTTCATAAAATTTTATTTTTTTAATGCTATCAAATATGTATATATACACTTTCAAATTTGATTATATGTTAATGCCTACAGTACAATAATGTATTCTGTTTCTGGTTTCCAGGTGTCGAGGTGTCATCGGCCATTGTAAAATCTACCACTCCGAGTCTGGGTATGGTTTTGCCGAGCCCTATCTCATCTTCCAGTCCTTGAAAGATCTGGTCCTTCACTACTACAACACATCACTAGCAGAACACAACAATGACCTTGACATTTGCCTGCTCTACCCTGTTCGATCATCCTCAAATGACACTTACCTCCGCCTGCAGGACTTGTAGCATTGGATTCTGTACCCAGCGTATCCATAGTGACAGTGGATAGCTTCGGACGCCATATCTTAGCATATCCATACTGATAGTGGATAGCATCGGATGCCATAACTAGCATATCCATAGCGACAGTGGATAGTTCTAGGTGTGATTCTTAGCTCTTCATCCATTTGTGCCAGAGTTGTTACTTTCAAAAAAGTGGGAGAAAATTCCAGATATTTCTCCCTACCATTGGATTTTATAACAGATCGTTCGCACAAGGTAGCTTAAATCTGCAAGCAACATGTGGTCAGTGTTCCGAACACACCAAAGCTTTTCCCTCAGATACTGAAACCGGAAACAGAAACATTTTCTGCGAGAAACACCGCTCTCTATAGCTGAAGCTTAGCTTACCGCACAGCAGTGACTATATTGTGATGCCTTAAAGGTTTCAAATGTGCGCACAAAAACTTATCGACTGACATTCAGCCATGGATGGGATTTACTATAAAAAAAAAGTATATAAAAAAAACTTGTGTGCTTTCACAGTTTCAAAGAAAAATTATTTTATATATTAGATAAACATCATTGTCATTTAACAAAGTCTTCTCTGTCTCCCATCAATCGTAAGGTATAACTTTCATCTTTCATTTGTACAAATAAGAAATTATATTTCGGCATCAGCTGTTTCTTGGATTACTAAAATTCTGAGGACTGGTGAATTCATAAAGTTATTGTATTTTTGTTTGAAATTTGTCGTTGTTAGTATAAAAAAAAACTGGAGATATTTAGCATGGCTTGTTGGTTATGATGTTGTTTAGCTGGTCAAAGTGATGGAATATGAGGGGAGAAACCAAAGTGATGAGAGACCCACATTGAAGACACAGTATTGCCTTAATGGATACACCACAGCTGTCAGTTGGCTTACAGCCCCAAAGAAAATTTTATATTTACAAATTTTAAACACAAAAAAAAATAAAGCAATGTAGTTTACATGTTGAAACAGATGTTTATCTAATTAGATTGTAAGTTTGGCTAAACTGTTTCTTACTCTTACATGTTAAAAAACAAATCATGAATCCGTGTGTACTGGTGACTTTCTGTGTCAACATCTTCATGTATATCTAGTTGTTTTTTTTTCTCTTAGTTTTGTTACAGTAACCATGGCTAACTTAATGTATAACTATTTTTTTTTTATATTTTATTGTGGTAAAACTATAACAGAAACCATGGTCCCTATGTTACGTAGATATGTAGAGATTTCTGTGGGCTAACAAAACTGTGCTACATATCAGATGCTGAATTATTTTTTTTAACATTCACTTCAATGTTTCTGCATAATGTTTATGAATCTAGGCAGTTAAAAAAAAATTTAATTGGCAAATCAAAGCACCAAAAAAAAAGTAATTTAATAAGGAATTGTTATTTTAAATATATGTTAGATTAATTATACCCATTGCAAGGTTTTGTTTTAAAATGCTACTGTGCCATTATTTCTCTCACAGCAGGTCTGTGTTCAATCATTTAAAACTTGTATGCCTAGCTCTGTTGTGTTACTTCAGGTTGTTGGACTTTGTTGCTGATTGTAGTAGTATACATCAATTATATGTTAGGTTACTTTGTTGATGTTCTGTATGTTCTGGGCTGATATGTTGATTTCTATAATTGCTTGCTAAAGGTAGATTCTATTGTTGTAATATCTATTTAGTTAGTTCCTTAACACATTTTTAGTTTTTTTTTTTTTTTTCTTGAATTAAATTTAAAAACTATGATTTCATCACTTACAGATAAAATAACTTTCATTATAAATTGTATTCAGTTTTGTTAAATTTTTAAAATTGGATTTCATTTGCTACACTAAATATTTAGAAAACTGTTAATTTATCTAACCTGTTAAAATAGGCTTGCCTAATATTGCTTGAGTTAAAAAATCTTTGCGAGTTACTGCTTTATATTCAAGCGAGAGCGTAGGTATGTTCAATCTGGAGGTATTAAATGACAATTGTTATTGTGCCTTTGTCCCTGTGACGATGCTTTCTCAAGCTCCTACAGTACTGACCCAAATGGCAACTTTGTATATTTGAATACCTTTTTATTTTTGTCTGTGTTAAAACTGCTGTGAATTTGTGCCACCGGATCTTGGGGCTTGTTTCAGCTTTTTTATCACAAGCTTTGATATTATGGCAATATATATAGGCTGCTTATAATATAGGGCAAAGGTCAGGGTTGGCTAGTGCTTTAGTACATTATTTCAAAATATTAAACCCATTTTTTTTAGATGACCCTGATTATGGCAATTTAAGGGGGGGGGGGGGGGAAGAGGGGGGAGTTTTACTAACTATTTTGCTGTTTGTTGTTTTATATATAGATTTATTTTTCTTTTTTTTTTTAAATTTAAAAAAAAAACCACTTAATTTGCTACATGACTTTATATTGTACAGTAATTTCTTACTATTAATTTTTTACCTATTCATTGCCCTACTAAGTGTTATAGATAGCAAAATATATCAGTTAAAAAAATTTCTTGGTGTCTCTCAACATGTCCAGTTCTCTTGTGTCCACTTCTCTCTTGGTGTTTTGTCCATAACAATATAAAACACACACTGTATGATATAGGATAACATTACCTTCCATGGTTTTAGGATAACACATCACACACTTTTAGGATGACATGACACACTAGACTGGTTTTATAACACATCCCACTATATGGGTTTAGGTTAGTACCTTGGATGTTAGACCAAGAATCAAGCCATAATATCAAGCTCTGCTCACATTGTTTTAAAAGTGTTATCTGTTGTTTATTGTTTTACAAAAAAAAAGTTAAATAAATGGCATCTAGCCCATAGCTGTATCATTTTATACATAGCTTATGGTCACACAAAAATCATAACTTGGTTATGTATAAATATTTTAACGAAACAAAAGCAAATTACTAGAGCCACAAATGCGTACTTAGTGCCCTTAATTTGTCTTATAAAATGTCGGCTATGAGTAAAGTTACAATGTCAATAATTCTGTTTGTTTTTTACCTTTTAAGGCAGTCTGACATTGTAAAAAAAATCTTTCACTGTGTTGTTGTTTTATGTGACTTAAAAGACTTAAACGTTTATGAGGTGTTCCCAGTTTATGTAACTTTAAAACATTTTTTTATTTCTAGATTTTTTTTATAAGTGGAAATGAAATTTCGAACTTTTAAAAAAATATCTGTACGGTACTGAAAATTATCTTTTTCACTGTGTCCATTTGAGTTGTTTTCTATATACTGAATGTTGACTTTAATGTTTTAACTACATTTAAGGCATGCAATGATATTATGTTGGATTACACAAAGTCTGTATACGGTGGGTAATCAAATATTTTTGCTTCAGAGAAAATTGTACTGGGAGTATCTTCAACAAGCGTAATGCATGTATATGTTGAACCCTGTTGATGTTCCTATATAGTATATTGATATACGGGTGTATAGTTGTTACAGATGGTTTAAACATGTTCATTTGTATGATTTAGACTTGAGAATTCTGTTAATGATCCTAGGTAGATTAACATGGTAATGCTGTGGTATGCTAGCCGATGAATGTCTTTATTAGGAACAAAACATCTAGGAGTATTAAATTGAACAAATTGTTGACATTCATTTCTGTCAAGGGTGAATGTTGTCTGGAGTTTTATCTTGATTTTTTTTTTTTTCCTGCTTATGAAGTAAATTCCACTAAATTATTTGGACCACTTGGACAGTGTAAATATAACCTTGGAAAGAACATTGATTGCTGAGTGCTGAAAATTTTGTAAATAATTTTTTTTTTTTTTTTTTGTTCAATCCTTTTGTGATATCCTGCTTTTTGTGGTCTTGTTTTATTTTATTTTTGTTGTAAACTTTGTTTTATGTTACATGGTCTATGTCAGCGTGAATGGGGTTAAATTTCATGTTACTTGTTTTGACCATGGTTTATATTGGTATGTGTTGCATGGTTTAGTTTTAGTAAAACTGGGTTAATCAGATGTCCAAGGTATGGTCTATTTTACTTAGATTTTTCTATGCCTAATTTAATTAACTGCTAGAGATAAATCTGGTAGAAATAGATTTCAAAATCATTTTAGTTGGTCTGTAACTGTTTTTTTTTTTTTAATTTGTTTATCTAAGTGAGCTGATCTGGTTGTCATGTTATCAGTTTCTCAACTCAATCATTTTAATGACTTTCTGAAAATAATATAAAAACTAAACTGGGTTTGATTTCACTCCCCTTTTGGTGAACACATTTATTTCAGTCGTGATGTATGAGAAGGTTTTTATATTTAGATCAGGATTTACAGCATGTCAAAATGTCATGAAATGTAGACATACGCGCAGGTTATTTTTGTTTTTTCTTTACCCTGCAGGCAAAAAAATGTTTGAATTTTGTAATGGATAGTTGGGCAAGTGATTTCCTTCATGTATCTGTGTGTAAAATGGACCAAAAATAACGTAATGTCTGTGTAGTGTAACTTGGTAAATTACTTCCACATGTATCATGTATAGAACTTAGATAAGTGCCAGGAGTTGGATCAGTGTGTATATGTCCACATGTATCATGTATAGAACTTAAATGGGTGCCAGGAGTTGGATCAGTGTGTAGATGTTTCATAGATGTAACACAGTCAATCATTTAACTGACATGACATTTGTTTGCTGTGCATCATTTTCCTGGATATTTTTGTATTTTCTTCTAGTTGATGATTTCATGGATGATAATATTATTCTTATATTGATAATGAAGACATTAAAAAAAAAATGTTTTCAAAATGAAACTTTCGAGTTGTTTTAATTTTATACCTTTTTTTGTTTTACTTTGTGTTGAAGACTTGAGTATTAAAAGACATGCTTAGCCGCCAAACTCAGAGCCAATTCAATGTTTGGGTTTGGATTTCTACATTGGTTATTAAGTCAAGTGCATCCCACACAAATAACTATCATTTCCACAGGCAATGTAAGACACTATTTAGGTAGGCCAGTGACACCCAGACAAAAAAAACTTATTTTATAGGGAAAACAATGGGGTTTTATTTTAGGGGTAAAACTAATAACTGATTATAATCAACTATATTTCTAAACCCATTGCAAAATGGTGATGATGCCAAATTGAGTAAAGCAGGAGTTGGCTCCCCTAAACTATCTTAGGAAGGCACTTAAGAGAAAATCTGGCCATAGAAATATAGAAAGTTTTGATTTGTTAAATCGGAAATGAAGCACCCCTTCTGGAAATCGCCCAAGAGTTGATAGAAAGGCGATAAAACTTATAAGAAAGAAATTTCGTCCATTTAAGTGAAACGGTACTGAAGTCATACGCAAATAGATAGAGATAAGATTGCAAAACTAGGTTTTTCCTACTCAGGAAGGTGTTAACCGTTGAGCTTTGTCAGAATTTTTATTTTTTTTCACCTCACGATTACAATATACTATACTATACTTCGTATACGATATAGAAAAAATTGCAATAGGTGATGCTTGGTCGAGTTGGTTGGTAACGGAGCGTTCATAAATACCCCAGCCAGCAGAGAATGTGACACCAGAGACCTGATAAACATGCCATAATTGTTGTCATAGCTAAGTTTTATTACAAAGTTTCTTGTGCTTACCCGCTCAAAAATTTAAAAAAAATTTAAAGTGGAAACTTTTTTCTCAAGTTTCATTATTAGTATTCGTCAGTGGCGTAGGCAGGGGGGGGGGGGGGGGTTAGGGGGGGGTCATAACCCCCCCCCCCCCCCCCCATAGACCCCTCGGTATATATATAAAAAGTAAGAGGGGGTGTGCAAATCGAAAGTTTGAGGGGGTGGTGCAAATCGAAAGTTTGAGGGGGGGTGCAAATCGAAAGTTTGAGGGGGGGGTGCAAATCGAAAGTTTGAGGGGGGTGCAAATCGAAAGTTTGAGGGGGTGGTGCAAATCGAAAGTTTGAGGGGGGGTGCAAATCGAAAGTTTGAGGGGGGGGTGCAAATCGAAAGTTTGAGGGGGGTGCAAATCGAAAGTTTGTCCCCGGGTAAAAATTGGACCCCCCCCCCCCCTTGAGACGATCCTGGCTACGCCACTGGTATTCGTACACACCCAAACGATGGGCAAAGCTTGCAGATTCAATGAAGAAATTAACACCCAAAGTTACGTATGACTTGAAAATGGTGTAGACAACAAGTTCAACAAGAAGGCTGACAGGGGCGGAACTACAGTGCCGCCAGACCCCGCAATGCGGGGGGGCCCATGACGTTTAGGGGCCCAATTCCGACCAAAAAACAATGAATTTTCTTTTCATAAATAATATTTTTCGCGCACCTTGATAGTGGTTTTGTAAAAAAAAAAAACATGTCTAGTATAGCAGTGATTGTTCTACAGTAACTAACACACACTGTTGCGTAGAAAAATATAAAATCTACAAGAGCTGTAGTTTGAAAGATAGGCAAACGTTCACACTACTTCCATGACTTACTGCCCTTCTTTAAAATAAGGGTGCCCATAAAGCTTATTTAAATAGTTTTGTACTATGTAAGTTAAAAAGCAATTTATTCTCTTAATTATTATTTAAATAAGGCATACTAAAGAATCCTAAACGTATAAAAATGAACGTATTCAAAACTAATAATATAAATACAAAATAATCATAAAAATAAACATAACGCGAGAAACCATTGTACAAATCAAGCTTACGTGTTTATATAGATTTGACCAGCTTGAAAAATTACTATTATTATCAATTTGCGGGAAAATGTAATAAAAACATTTGTAAAACAGGGATTATAGCGGGCCCGAAATTAGTTCGGACTTATTGTTCACTGGTTCGTTATCTCAGAGTGGTTATACATTGCAATAAAATAGATTAAAATACTCAGGTAATAGACTATTTTAAAATTAGAGAAGCACGCTAGTATATATATATATATATATATATATATATATATATATATATATATATATATATATATATATATATATATATATATATATATATATATATATATATATATACATATAGGGGGGCCCAAAATGTTTATTTGCGGGGGAGCCTTTTTTTTCTAGTTCCGCCACTGAAGGCTGAACGTGATTTGAGTCAGTTCGGGTGTTTATGTCAGAAGCGCTGACATAAATTCTTCCTGCGATTCAACACTTATGTCTCGAACTTCTCTTAGTCTGTTGTCTCTAAAACTATTTGCATCTATTTACACTCTGTAGAATTCTCCAAACAGTGTAAGCTAAAAAAAAATGTTTATCACGTTAACTTTTTGCTTCTGCTTTCCCGATGCTGGAGAGCTACACTCCATCGACGATAAATTCTCAAAGAGCATGTGGACTGAGAAATTATGTAAAACCTTATCTCTCAATCGGCGCTGTCGTTGAGGCTCTCAATGAACCTGTTTGAGAAATATACGCATGGGGCGGTGAGAAGTAATAAATATACCCAGCAATGTACAAACTACTGCTCATACTTGTAATACTACCAGTTAGATGTACATTATTGGTGAACGCTTATTTTTTTTTCCACACCAAAGCAACTAAGACAAGAACACGTAAGCCTCGAACTGTTGTCGATGTGTTTTGGTAGAGTATTCTCCAAGAACTTGTAACTCCAACTAGATTCTAATTAGAATTGGGTCCGAGCTGTATTTGTACCCGGGGGGGGGGGGGGGTTAATAAAATATAATATTTAGTTTGCTCCTTATGAAACATTAGGGCCTCCACCATTTCCTTCTATTTCGTCCGATTGATTTTGCAGTCTCCCAAGACATCACTGTTGGCTTCAGTTCTTCGAGAAGACTCCGCCTCCATGTCTGTCTTGGGCGGGGGAGGGGGGGGGTGTGGGGGGCACTTGAAATTTTCGGGGGGACGGACTAAAATTTCCGTGGGGCGGACACTGTTAAAAGTATATTTTTTCTATAAAAATTCCATTTGGTCCTGGGGCGGTAGACTTTCTTCGGGGGGGGGGGGGGAGGCTGAGATGCCTGGAAGAAACTCTGCTTTCCCTGGGGGTTCCACTCAAGCGCTTGGCGTGTCACATTTGGGTAAGCCTTTCGCAGTGTGTGACCCACCCAGCGCCACTTCCTCCTTCTTATTTGCAACATAGGCTCCTGCCTTGCTTTCCTCCATAATTCTATGTTCGGCACTTTGTCCTGTCATCTCAATTTCAATATCTGTCTAAGGAAATGTGTTCATGAAGGTCCGTATCTTCACTGTGCTTGCCTTGGAGACTTTCCATAAATTGTAAAATGTGCCTAAATTAAAATGTTTCTCTAAAATCGAACAAAATATCATTGGGATCCCTACCGGCTTGAGTCTGGGAAATTTAACTCCACAAACGATTTTATGTAACACCTTTTGGATAAAAATAAAATAGTCTTCATCGCTGAAGAACGCACCTTCTAAGGGGGTTCTTTCCTAGTCGTCTCATCTACCGTCTGAGAAAACTTTGTGAAGAATTCCCTGCAGCTCTTTGATGGTGGGTTGCTCATTGTGCTTAAATACCAGCTCATCTAGATCTACATCCTCTAATACAAACCCGTCTAGTTCCCAAAATCAATATTTGGTAGCATCATGGACGTGGGACAATCTGAGTCAGTCACTAACCCTTACAAGGTGTTTCTCATTCACGACCTGAACCTAACCCGAACAGAATCCTAAACATAATTTTTTTTCACGCAGGTCTCATTGACCTAGATTTTACTTCCGGCTAACTCGACGAAATCCGAGACAAGACTTTAAAGGAAAATGTCAACGAAAGCCGAAACGGGAGATAAATAAAGGTAATCAAAATATGTATAACTCTAGTAACTGTTGTTAAGGAGGAACATTTGTGATCCCTTTAATAGCCGCACCCATTGACACCCAACCTAATGGCCAGTGGCGTAGCCAGGATCGTCTCAAGGGGGGGGGGGTTCCAATTTTTACCCGGGGACAAACTTTCGATTTGCACCCCCCCCCTCAAACTTTCGATTTGCACCCCCCCTCATACTTTTTATATATACCGAGGGGTCTATGGGGGTGGGGGTTATGACCCCCCTAACACCCCCCTGCCTACGCCACTGCTAATGGCGTCACTGATATTAAAACACTTTTATAATCAAATGTCCCTGGCACACTCCCAATGAAAGCAACATTGTATTGGCCGACGCCTATGATTTCAGTACACATGTCCCCTGCATGTGTCCAAGGTTGCAAGTTTTAACATATGCCTCATAATTGTCATGGAAATAATAAAATAGAGATTTCGTACGTCTATTTAGTTTTCATTTTTACCAACAAAGCGGGTGATTTATATTTCATGCATAAAGTGGGTTTCACAAATGTTCCCTGTAAGCTACATGGTGGTTTAGAAAAATAATATTATTATTACATTGTATAAAGTCGATTCAGAGAACCGCCACGCATAAAATAGATTGTACATATGTTTGTTTGTAGTGAAAGTTGATCTGCCACCCCCCCCCCCCCCCCCACCTTCCACACACACACTATAGGAGTACTCTTAAATTTTGTAGATGTCCACACGTCTCCATACGTTTTTCCCCCCACACTTAATCCCACAACAGTGACCTATAACTATTAGAAGTGAAAAAATGAGCACGTTCCTAAGATACACACAGAGTTTCTTCCAGGCATCTCTTCGCTGCCCGCCCCCCCCCCCCCCCCAAAACGAAATGAAAATGGGAATTTATATAGAAAATATATACTCTTTACGGTGTCCGCCCCCCCCCCCCCCCCCCCGGGAAACAAGTCTAAAAGAAACACTGGATACAAAACGAATATACAATGAATATTGTCAAACGAAAAAGCTTTTCTGGACCATGACCATATTATGAAAAGTGCAGGATTTTTTATTTTATTTTTTGTGTGGAGAAGATGGTACTGGATAGTTAGAATGAGAGGGTGGATGACTGTTAGAAGAAAGTGATGGAGGATTGTTACAAGAAAGTGATGGAGGATTGTTAGAAGAAAGCGATGGAGGATTGTTAGAAGAAAGTGATGGAGGATTGTTAAAAGAAAGTGATGGAGGATTGTTAGAAGAAAGTGATGGAGGATTGTTAAAAGAAAGTGATGGAGGATTGTTAGAAGAAAGTAATGGAGGATTGTTAGAAGAAAGTGATTGAGGATTGTTAGAAGAAAGTAATGGAGGATTGTTAGAAGAAAGTGATTGAGGATTGTTAGAAGAAAGTGATAGAGGATTGTTAGAAGAAAGTGATGGAGGATTGTTAGAAGATAGTGATGGAGGATTGTTGGAAAAAAGTAATGGAGGATTGTTAGAAGAAAGTGATGGAGGATTGTTAGAAGAAAGTGATGGAGGATTGTTAGAAGAAAGTGGTGGAGGATTGTTAGAAGAAAGTAATGGAGGATTGTTAGAAGAAAGTAATGGAGGATTGTTAGAAGAAAGTGATGGAGGATTGTTAGAAGAAAGTGATGGAGGATTCTTAGAAGAAAGTGATGGATGATGGAGGAGTGTTAGAAGAAAGTGATGGAGGATTGTTAGAAGAAAGTGATGGAGGATTGTTAGAAGAAAGTGATGGAGGATGGTTAGAGGAAAGTGATGGAGGATTGTTAGAAGAAAGTGATGGCGGATTGTTAGAAGAAAGTGATGGCGGATTGTTAGAATGTAAGGGTTGAGGATTGTTAGAAGAAAGTGATGGAGGATTGTTAGAAGAAAGTGATGGAGGATTGTTAGAAGAAAATGATGGAGGATTGTTAGAAGAAAATGATGGAGGATTGTTAGAAGAAAGTAATGGAGGATTGTTAGAAGAAAATGATGGAGGATTGTTAGAAGAAAGTAATGGAGGATTGTTAGAAGAAAGTAATGGAGGATTGTTAGAAGACAGTGATGGAGGATTGTTGGAAGAAAGTAATGGAGGATTGTTAGAAGAAAGTAATGGAGGATTGTTAGAAGAAAGTAATGGAGGATTGTTAGAAGAAAGTGATGGAGGATTGTTAGAAGAAAGTGATTGAGGATTGTTAGAAGAAAGTAATGGAGGATTGTTAGAAGAAAGTAATGGAGGATTGTTAGAAGAAAGTAATGGAGGATTGTTAGAAGAAAGTGATTGAGGATTGTTAGAAGAAAGTAATGGAGGATTGTTAGAAGAAAGTAATGGAGGATTGTTAGAAGAAAGTAATGGAGGATTGTTAGAAGAAAGTGATGGAGGATTGTTAGAAGAAAGTGATGGAGGATTGTTAGAAGAAAGTGATGGAGCATTGTTAGAATAAAGTGATGGAGGATTGATAGAAGAAAGTGATGGAGGATTGTTAGAAGAAAGTGATGGAGGATTGTTAGAAGAAAGTGATTGAGGATTGTTTTTTTCCTCACATTGACACAGGCCAGAAGACCAGAGCAGCGCAGACCGACTTCCACCGAACTCTGATTGAGTTGTGGTCCTTGATTGATGCGGTTGCCAGCGGTTCGAGTTTATCCCAGACGAAAAACTTGTATCAATTATACATCACATTGAACCCCAGTCACCCTCTATACTGCTCCCTGGGACATACAAATCGTCCATCCAGCCCCCCCCCCCCCCCCCCCTTCCCCCGCCCAGCTACCGCCCTGCTCAATCGTTTTTCAAACGTCTCCATGAGATAAAATGCACTTTTGTTTTCGAGGGTCACCGTGACCTGCCTAGCAGAGCTCTCTCCGCGAGAAAAATCGGTTAGGTCACACACAGTCTGTTTGCACTTCCAGGGGCATGATGTCATTTCTGGAAAATTCGCACACGCCCCCCCCCCCCCCCCCCCCCCCCCAACCCACCCTCATCATACACACATTGCTTTTTTTTTTTAATAAATACATTTCTATTTAAGTTTGGAGAGTTTTTGGGTAATGTGCGGAGAGAATGTGAGTGTATGAGAGAAAGAGTAGTGAGAGAAAGAAAGAAAGGGAGAGGGAAAGAGAGAATTTCATAGATGGTCAAACTTGGCACACAGCTATGGTAGCGAATCTAAAGTAAATATTCATGTGAGTCAACATCTTGTCTCCTGAAAAAGAAAGGCGAAGCTGGTGGGGGGTGCCACACCACTTATTAACTAATTATGACTAATTAAATATTGGATAAGTGTAGACACGTGAGTTTTGTAGTCTTTAAAATTTGCATAGGCGGATCAGAGCGGGTGGGTGAGGGATGTATACTGAGGGAGATGTGTGGAAAGGGGGGGGGGGGGGGGGGGCGGGAGCCCCGTGGAATTTTTTTTTCAAAAGTCATGTGTGATTTCGGCAACCTCAATATCTATTACTACAACAACAATCAGCCTATTTTCAAATCCGTTTCAATTCATATTGTAAAGTTCAATGCTTTTGTTCAGTGTCGCTTGACTATTTTCAAGTGTTAAAATATACTGGCGATTTCAACACATGACTATGCCACGAAACGAATCTGCATTCCTTTCATATTCTACTGTAAAATTTCTAACCTGAACCTCATCACATGTGAAATATTACGATGTATTGTATAGCTGGTACTTTTAATAGCCTATAAACTACATACATATTGCTCTGTAACAGCGGCGTCGCTAGGTCGGGTGTCACCCGGTGCGGCACCTCATGGTGTCCACCCCCCTCCCACCCACCTTGTCGCGATCGTCAATTTGTACCTGAATACTTTTTAACCCTAATTAACCATTCATTTAACTAAACAAGTTAATAAAAAGTCTAGTGACAATTTAAGCGCAATTTCCTTATGGTATCCATAACAATTTTAAATCGAGATAAATCATATATTCAGCAAATAAATAATGCAACACAAGTAGTTTTAATAATTCAAAACAAAATAGAAACCAGTATGGAAATTGCGCTAAAAAAGACAACTATATTAACCAATATCAACGGAAATAGTTTTATTTTAACGAGTAGGCCTACACGATGCTCAGTTTAAAAAAGTAAAGTAGTAAATATCATCCTATAAATTTAAACTTATTTGTTCTTAATTAATTTTTGTGACCGAACGAAAGGATATTTTTGAAAACTTTCTTCGGCAATATTGTTCTAAATTATGGCAGGAATCGATTGGTAAATGTTTCAAGTCGCTAAGTGGTCTGGTTGCCGAGATATGGGCCAAAAACTGCATTTTTTCCGAGGTTTTTTGGCTTTTCCGGGAAATCCAGGAAGGAATTCCGGGAATTTTTTGGCCCACAATCATCCTCGGAACTTGCTTAACATATTAGCTTTTTGGAACTAGTCGTCGATATTGCTTCGTTGAGGAGGAGATACGAATTAAAGCTGCGGACACACATCCATCCATCCATCCAGAAATGACGAGTTAATCGCAATTCGTGTAAGGAAAATGCGCTAAAAAATTGAAATAAAATCTCACACTAAAAAAAAAATTGAAAACAAATATGTAAAACATCGTCAAAAAGGAATCTTTAGGAGTTGGATGCTCAAATGAAAAGTAGAACATTTTGTTGAGTTAGCAGGAAACGTTTGATCATGGGCTAAATACGTAAATTAAGCTAATTTATTTTTAGTAGCTTCATAAAAAATTACACAGCTGGCAGTTTTTTCTAAGGGAGAGAATCGCGTTTTTAAAAAGGATAATTTTAAAACTGGATTCCATAGCGGGACTTTAGAAAGTTATATCCCCTCGCAGTTAAACATCAGAATAATTAATTATGTATTTAACATTTTGATGGGCCAGAAAATCCTTTACGCTAAAAAAGTTGAAGTGAGTGAAAGAACGAAGAATTCAATCTGTCTAATATCGATATTGAAAACATAGTGTAGCTTTTCCTGGACTGTGCATATGAATCACAAGATGCCGTGCACACCTCCCCACTCCCCACTTGTAACGCTACCACACACATGGGGTAGGGGTGGTTTATTGGCTGGTTATATTGTGCTACATGAGGTATGGGTAGACAGCATCAGTATTATTAGTATGTTCGGAAAAGATGTTTGATTTTATCCGTCGAAGAATGCTTTCAGCAGGTTCCTATTTAACGCGGACTCAGAGGCGTAGCGACCCTTCCCGGCGCACAGGGACAAACTTTTCGATTTGCACCCCCCCCCCCCCTCAAACTTTCAATGTGCACCCCCCTCAAACTTTCAATTTATTTTTCAAACCCATTTTGGCGCCCCCTAAGGTCGGCGCCCGTGGACATATGCCCCCCCCCCCCTCTCGCTACGCTACTGCGCGGACTACTTTACATAATATGACACACTTTAACTCAACCCTTGAGCTTAACAGAGTTTCTGGGTAAAAAGCAAGGTTATATTAGTGTTATGTTAATTTCTGGGTATAATCCAAAGTTCTATTAATTTTGTGTTAATTTCTGGGTGTGCGGTAAAGTTATATTACTTTAATATTAATTTCTGGGTATAAGGTAATGTTATACCAATTTTATATCAATGAATATAAGACAAATTTAATTTAATTGTATTATAATTTCTGAATATTATTAAGTTACATTAATTTTAGATTAATATCTGGTTAGAAGGCAATATTATATTATTTTTATATTAATACCTGATTAAACACCCCCTTTGTTGTTTTATTTTTAATTATTATATGTGCACAATGTCTGCTAGTTAGGATAGTTAAATAGACAAAAGTAGTTTTATAAATTTCTCGAAGGTCTAAGATATAAGTTAACTGCTCTATAATCTATATGTCTATATTTTCTTTTAAAATAAGCCACGTAATGTTTCCAGAAACCCCTTAGAAACTAAAGCTATACTATACGGTATTAGAATAAGTAAACACTGGCCATGGGATGTAATCCGTGAAAGCGCCAAACATAATGTAAACTGTTGTTTTTTTCGAGTTGTCTCCGCTTTAAAGATAATTTTCGGACTTGCTTTACGCGTTTTTTATTCAAATTATATGTAAATCACAGTATATTTTACTAATAATTTAAAGTTAAATAAAAAAAAATTTGTGTATATTACCCAAAATGGTTGTTTAATTTGAATGTAACAAAAACAATTGGCCAGCAAATAATTTGAAAGATTCTTTAAAGAATATTGAATAAGCCAAGGCCCAGGCTTATAGATCTCGTTCTAGATTTTACTAGATCTAGATTCTATCGTGTAATTAAAACTAATAATTGTGTTGTTGTCCCACTGAAACTTAAAGGGTAGGTCTGGATAACTTTAAATTCACATCTGCAGAAATAATAAAGAAAATCGCTAAATTTTTCGGCAAAACAATGTAGATGCAAACGAGTAAAATGTTAAATGTTGGTAAAAATAAATTTTTATTTAACCTATTGTATATTTAAATATGGAGAAAAAGGCTTGTATTTAGACCCATCTGAACTGTAAATTTTAACTATAATTATTATCAAATAAATGAATATAGATCTACTAAAAATGGCTATAACTGGGATCACGGAAAAAAGTGAGAATTTAATAACATGCAAATTCAAACAATGCGCGTATTGTAACGGGGGAAAATTACCAAAATATTGCTTTAAATGTTTATGAGTTTGTAAACCTCTTAAGGCTCTTTCATTTGTATTTTAAAAGTAACATTTGTGCATGCTTAAACAGTTGTATAAGCAATAAAAATAACAGCAAAAGTAATCAACAAACGCTGGCGAATGACGTCATGGTATATTCCTATTGCTGACCCTTTGGTCGCTTTACTTTTAAATGCATAAAGATAATATATACCCAAATGGTGTTTAAACTTCAATAAAATGAAGGGATATTCGAAATAATATTGATATTATTAAAACAAATATTAGCATTGTCCTACAAGAGGAAAAAAAAGCCTCTTTTGGTGGTGTGTGAACATGAAATTAACTTGAGGAAGATGGCGATAGACGATCGAGGTTCGAGTTGTTACCCAGTGCTTTCCTGCGAGCAACAAAAATATTTATTTTAGAACTGTAAAATACTTCCCAATTTAATATGTAATGATTAAAAAAGTACAGAATGCTTAGTTCTAATGCATAAATGAATCATGATTGTTAGTTCATCTAAATAGAATGGAAATAACCTAATACTTTAGGCTACCAAGCTGAAGCAAAAAAATATCAACCTCTCTGACCTAGATTTGATGTAGATAGGGTCTGTAGACTAAATTTGTGTTAAAAATATATCTTGAGCAATTTGAACAAATTTATATGATTTTAAAATTCATTATAAGCATCTTTATTTTGCTTTATTCGTAAAATTTTTCACTAAAAAACAGTTTGGGGAAGAAATTTTTGTTAAAATTGATCACTAAAGGTCAAGCAGATCCTCCATGATTTTGAGTAGTTTTCCAAGATGGTCTTATCGATAGTACTGTGAATTTTCAATTAAATATTAATACAGTGTGGCAACCAATATATTAATAGCTATTAAAACTGAAACACACAGACTCTATAGTAATTTTGATGCTATTTAAACAACGACCGCGGTTGAAATTATTTCAAAATAAAATATTTTATTGCTCTATTATTTTAGACTAAATTAGGGAAAATGGCGACGAGTATCAGAATTTGTGTTCATGAACCAAAAGTTTCTACGCGATTTTGAAAGAAATGTGAAAGTTTTGTAAGAAGATAAGCGGTGGAAATCTTAATCGTTGTATATTTTAATAAAATTAAGTATTAATTTAATTTTATATGCAGTTTTGAATTTACAATTTAAGTTTATATGAGACCACCCAGTATCTTAGTGTGCGATATACTCCTGGAAAATCGCTTATTTTAAATAAACAATCTAAACGCTCATGAAAATATTGATATGAATAACTAAAAGAACATCCCCTTAATCTAATGCAACCATTAAAGTAGTGTTTGTTCAAACCAATTAATTGTAAATTAATTTTTTAAACGTGCGGCTAAGCACAAACGCGCAAAATCAAACGAGTTTCTCGACGGTTGGCGGATCTTCAAACTTTTTGCTTTCTAGGACGTCCGCGCACCAGCTTATATGAACTCTCGCAGCTGGCATATGAACACTTCCCGTTTGACTCTCGACCAGTTCGTATCGTTGCAATAGCAAGTTGTCGAACAGTAAATATCATTTAGCTATTAAAATGGAAGATCCAGTTGCTGTTGCTGCACCGGCTGCTGATGCCCCAGCTACGGCTGCTCCTGCTAAGGCTCCAAAGAAAAAAGCAGCAGTCAGTAAACCAAAAAATAAGAAGCCAGCGAACCATCCAAAATATTGCGACATGATCAAGGTATGTCTCCGCTCTCCGCCATACGAAAAATTGAATTAAAATTCAGTTGTAGAGTGACCTAGACTTAGAATTATATCTATTCTAGATCTAGTCTAGATCTAGGAAAATATAATAATTAATAATTATTATAAATCTAGCTAGACTAATTCACTTAATTATTAATTAATAATTAGGCCTTCTATTTTACTACTAGTCTAACTACTAATAATTATTTTAAGTTCTGGCTATTTCTTATATTAGTAATATATTAGAGATGATCTCAATGTAATCAAATATTTTTAAGACTAGATCTAGAGATCTTTATCTATCCCTTGTTACTATTGAACAACTATAGATCTAGGTAGTATTTCATTTATAGTAGGCCTATACTGTATTACAGTGACTAATACAGGGTACTACTACTAGACTACTAATAAAATTAATAGGCTGTGTGGAAGATTTGTTTTTGTTTTAAAATAAAAATGTTTTTGGGGTAAATCTAGATTCCATAAATATAAATACTAGATTAGATCTATATTATATCTAGTACCTGAATAAAGATTGTATACTAAAGTAAAATCAACTAGTTAATATTCTGAGACAGAAAATTGTGTACTATTTCTTTCTGATATTTGATTTAGTCAAATTTAGTGATAATCTGGTCTAGATCTAGTTGTCACTGGTTCATTGTGGTTTTCCAATACACCTCATTTTGAATTGGCTGTTTTAAGCATATGCTACGATGGGATTTTTCTATAATTACTATATTAGTTTTTCTCTCTGAAATTTCAAGTAATGTACTATTTAATTTAGTAACAGGAATAATTAAGTTTTTAAAATAATGCAAATACAGAGGATCAAACTTTTTGATGTAATAAACATCTGGCAACCAAAATGTATTATTTTATACAAGGTTCTATTAATTGTGGTTTCCAGTCTTCACTGTGTTGCACGTAGATCTAGATCTGCATTATTATTTTGAATTTAGCATTAAAATGCTATTGTTAATTATACATAGAATAAGTTATAATATTTTTTCCCTTAATTTCAGGCTGCTATCACAAGCTTGAAAGAGCGAGGTGGTTCTTCACGACAGGCCATCCTTAAGTACATAATGGCAAACTACAACGTTGGAAAAGATGAGAAAACCATCAACAGCCACTTGAAGATGGCTCTCCGTGCTGGAGCCAAGAATGGAAACTTGAAGCAGTCCAAAGGTGTTGGTGCATCTGGCTCATTCAAGATTGGCGCCAAGGAAGAAGCCAAGCCAAAGGCTAAATCACCTAAAAAGGCTGAGAAACCAAAGGCTGTCAAGCCTAAATCTCCAGCCAAAGCCAAAAAGCCCAAGGCAAAGAAAGCTGCTGCTCCTGCTGCCGCACCAGCAGCCAAAAAGCCAGCTGCAGCCAAGAAGCCAAAATCTCCCAAGAAGGCTGCTGCTAAGAAACCCAAGGCACCTAAACCAGCAGCTGCGGCTAAACCTAAAAAGCCCAAAACACCCAAAAAGAAAGCCTCTCCAAAGAAAGCAGCGCCTGCAAAGAAAGCTGCACCCAAAAAGGAAAAGTAAAAGTGTGATATAAAAATTGACTGAGAAAGGACTCGATAAATTATTTCATCCAGATTTCTATGACAACTAACGGACATGTAAACAGATGTGGCAGCACTCTGGATTGTGGATTTCTGACAGACATCTTTCATTTGTAATATATTTCATTTTCATACCCTTCTCATATCATCATGCCATTATGTTCAAGCAATTGTTATATTTGCCCTACATATGCACCATTGCCTGCTTTCTCATCCTCATTATTTTAACATGATGTCCTATTCGGGGTATGTTGCAATCTGCAAGGTTGTGGTATGAATCCATGACCAATAAAGTAACATGTGATAAAACTGATTTTTTTCTTTTAATTGTAATCACTGTACTTGTTTTGTGTGTGTTGTCTTCTATTTTGTGTTTAAATTTAAACATAATACTAATTAAAGCAGATCATAGATTGGTGGTAATTTGCTATGGTAATTATAATACAAGAGTAAACAGTTAAAAGGTTGCATACACTTTATTGCACATACCCAACATCACTTATATTTTTATATTGATTAGGTGAAACAGCATGTGCATTGCAAATTTCTGAAAAGTGAAACAATCATGTAAGGTTGATTAAAAACAGATTAGGGGAGGGACAATGCCTTTTAAAATTTTAAGTAAATAAGGTTGGAAATGCACAGATCTGCACCATCAATTTAATAAGGGTGGCCCTTTGAATAAATCCTGCAACATACCACATGCTTATTTAACCACCAGAATACCTACCTTTTCTGATCTCAGCTGGTAATTAAAATTTAAAATTATGGTTCTGGTCTAGGCATTTGATCATTAGGCTAATCGTCATAGGGAAGGGGGTGGTATGATCTCACTTATACTGGTGTGTGTTGCCAGCAACTACTAGTGAATACTATCTCATACACTATTAAAACAATTTTTCAAGCAAAATACAGGACTAATTCCAACATTTTTATGAAACCGCAATACATTTGTAAAACTATTAGCAGTATTGTCCAGTCAAGAACACCTAGATCACAGCTTAATTATTATAATTAAGGCTTGTTGCTGCTTTATTCCATTCTTGAAGAAAATCTAGATGATGGCCTTCACCCTAAGGTCAAGTAAAGATTACTTGGTTTTAATTTACAACTGGAGTGTCTAACATGCTCAGTTGCTTTTTTTCACATATTTTTTCGTGTGTTGATTGTAGGATGACAAGGGTTCGTCCATAAATGACGTCACACTCACACTCGTAGGGTGTGTGATGAGGGGGGGGGGGGTTCAGATGGTGCGAAGTCACACTTTTGCATAAATGATTATGAACGCATCCACACATCTCCTTCGTACTCCGTTTAGCTTAACTTATGTCATATTTCAGGGTTTGTTCGGGACAACCTTTTTTTTCTCCGGAAAGGGGGAAGGGAGGAGGCCAAGCACTCTTCGCGACACCATTTTCAAAGAAATAAGTTGGGATATATGGCATTTTTAACTTGACATTATTATGGCATACAACAAATTAAATGGGGATGGATTGCGCAAACTAACCAGACAGGCATTAGATTGGAATCTCCATTAATTTAAAAAATGGGCAGTGTTTTTTTTTTTTTTTTTTTTAATTACATACAAATCTATCTCTTTCTGCCCCCCCCCCCCCCCCCCCCCACCTGTGAATTGACTCGTATTTTGCTAGAAAAAAGGGGCATTAACTCTTCACAACTGAGCGAATAGTTTCTCTTAGTTATGGTCTAGACGTCACTGTCATGGCTGACAATGTTTCCTAAAGTAGGTGGATTGCTAATTGTTATCGCACACTAGAGGTATTTAAACATTGGTGAAAACTCATATAATTACTCGGCTATAGATCTATATCTGTATCTTTAATGCTTGTATTAATTGCCATTTTTACTATAACATCGTCTATAGAAGTTAGAGGAGCTAATTTTTAGGTTTCCTTTTTTTTTTCCTTGATGAACGATCATGATGTGATGTTTGATTTGGGAAGGTAAATAAAAATAAAATCTATTCGCTTGATTTCGTGATGATTCAGAATCACTCGCATTTGTATTTGATCACTGGTGAGAAAAAAAAAGGGAATTAAAAATACTATAGGGCCCTAATATAGGTAAGAGAACAGGGCCTAGCATAAATTTCACATCAACAATTTTTTAATTTTCTTTAGTAATCTTTAGGCCTTAAAATTTCACTTAAATTTAAATTTTAAATTAATAAATTAGTAATTTAGTAAGTAACCTAAGAAGACTTCCTAAGAGTTTTTTAAAACCTAAGTTTAGTAGTAAGTTAAGTAAGTAGTTCTAGTTACTTGTCAATAATATTATATTCTATATAGTATTTGATTTGATCTACTTATAACTTAGTAAGTTAGTAAGTAAGATAGGCCTCCTGACCTAAGCCAACCTAAGCCCTGTTACCTGTTAGTTAACTTAGTACTAGTAGGCCTACTTAAATCTAGGAATAGATCTAGTAATAAACATGACTTGCTAATGTCAATACTAGATCTATCCACAACCCTAGTCCTGACATACATCTAACCCTAAATGATAAATCTATAGGCCCTACTACTAACAACCTAAAACATTTAAAAAATAGACTCTTCCAAAAATTACTTGTTTTTGGAAGAGTCCATTATGATATTATCGGACATCCTTTTATACTTTATACCTATTTATCCCTTATTACTATAGTTTAATTGTCACAGTTTTTGTGTTAAGTAATTCTAGATCTCATAGAATTATTATTATCAAATAATTTAATTAGGCCTAGGCATAGTTATTCAGTTTTCAAGAATTACTGTGTAGCCAGTGTAGTGTTACCATTACTGTCACTAGTGTCAATTCAGTACTTAACTCTCATGTATTTTAGTGGTATTTTTATTCTAATTCATTTACAATGTTAACTGTTAATTTCATGGAATAATTCTTCTGTTATTTTTCCTCAGAAGTAACCTTAATAAGGAAGTTAATACTATTACTTTTATAACTTGTAATACAAGTTGGGAAGCTGTTGTTTGGTAGAGAATTAAGCCAAATATCATTGAGATAAGTTTAAGCAAAGACCATGGCTTCCTATGGAAAAGGAAACTTTGATGGGTTTACTCCTTATCAAGGAGATTCACGCTCAGAAGGTTTGTCACATCTATTTAAGCTTGTGTATATTTTATTTTGATTAAGGTGAATTAGAGAAAATTAGTCAGCAAAATAATAACGGTAATCATCTATTTTTAGGTTGAAACTTTGTTACAATCCATGATTTACCATATATATTTTTGTACTGAGGAAAATTTTTAAATATTTAGTTTTTGGTTATTGTAACTGTTTAAATGTAAATATGCATATTTCACATTCATGAATTTTAATTATTAATTTATTAATTATAAATACAATTCAAAATGTTGAAACAAAATTCACTTGATTATCAGTTTTCTTTTAAACATTCAGATTTATAAATTTTGTATTTATATATTTATATTTGTAACATAGGTGACAGAGGTTCAGATTTTGGAAAGCTTTCAAAGGAAATCAGTGCAAATATTCAGAAAATTACACAAAATGGTAGGTATCATCATTTTTGTTTTTTGTAAATTGTTACATTAATTATAAATGACAACCCTGGGGCAAAAATGGTAACAGTTAATTAAAGAGGCTAGAAGGGTATTTATGTATTTAAAAATTGACTATTTCAGAAATTTTAAACATAGTTTAAATGATAAGACAATCTTGATATAAATTCTATCTATGCACAACTTTTGTTTTTAATTTTAGAGAGTAAATTAAGAGTAAATAAAATTTTATTTATAAATTAGTTAAACTTTTTATATCTTATATATCGAGTACAAAAGTTGTTTGCACACAGTTTTAAATATTTTCTACATGTGATTTTGTTGTGTATCAGTCTGAAATAGCAAATTTAATTGACAATGAAATATTTTAAAAAAAATATATATATTTTTTTTCTTTTTACCGACATGATCAAGTTCAATTATTAAAAAATTCAAATTTGTTTAACAGTGTCTCAGATACAGAAATTTGTTAGCCAGATTGGAACACCACAGGACTCTGATGAACTACGTCAAAGAGTGTAAATTGAGTTTGTCTATTTTTAAGCATTTTAAAAATAGCTTTAATAGTTGTGTAAATAGTAATTTTATTTTGTTTGTATGGTAACATTTTTTTTTACACTCATAAGGATGGTGATACACTATTGGGCTTAAAGAATAACTGATTTCAAGTTGTATTAAATCTTAAATCAAACTATATATTATCTTGTAATTCTGTTTAAATTTGTTGTTAAGAAAATTGTAATCTAGTTTTACTCCTTTAAAGGCATGAGACCACCCACTACACTAACCAACTGGCTAAAGATACCAGCAACAGCCTGAAAGCTTTGGTTAACTTGCCACAGACTGGATCTCAATCTGAAATTGTAAACGTTTTTTTTTTCTTAGTTTTTATTTGGTTGAGTTTAATATTTTTATACCAATTTTTCATAGTCAAGGTTATCTTTATTTTAATGGTAATCATTTCCATAACAATTATGTAAAATGTTATACAATACTTGAAATTTGTTAGATTTTTACTTTCTCATCTCCATAACAATTGATTATGTAAAATGTTATACAATACTTGAAATTTGTTAGATTTTTACATTTAAAAAAAAATTCTTGAACAGAGACAGTGTAAAATGCAAAAGGACAGGTTGACAGATGAGTTCAGCAATGCTTTGAAGAACTTCCAGACCATCCAGAGAACAGCTGCTGAGAAGGAAAGGGCCAGTGTGCAGAGGGCCAGAGCCCATTCTGGCTTAGACAGAGTAAGTTTCTCCAACTGGCTTTCATAACATCTAAGCTTGACCAATTATTTTTGGTGGATTGGCGTGGCCTAGCGGTAGAGAGCTAGACTGTTAACCAGAGAGTCTGTCTCGAGTTCAAATCCGCTTTCATAACAGTAGAATGTCCCTGAGTCCACCCAACTCTGAATGACTCTGATGGGTACCTAACTTACATTAGGGAAACAAAGTCAGCTGGGCATAGTGCTGACCACTCTATCCCTTCATATGCCGAAGTCTCTGAAGCAGATGAACTCTACTTCATGTGTCTTAAATGTGTCTTAAGCACGAATGGGAAATGATGAATTATTTTTGGTATTATGCAATTGTAACTTGAATGTCCTTATTTGTTTACTTCAAGTTTAATAAACCTAACATAACAGACTGTTTGTTTGATTGCTAATTTTACAGCTCTGTTATTTTCTTTTGTTAGTGTGGGGCTTAATTCAGATATATGAAGAGACTTATTTATCTATACAGTGTTTTCGAACATAAAAATAGCAATTTTAGAATTGACCCTTAAATGTTGGAACATCTGTCTTTGTTGATTTGTCACTTTAATGGAACAGCCATTTTTAAAATAACTTTTTAGCGCAATTTCCATACTGGGATTGCGATTATTAACTCGTCATTTCTGGATGGATGTGTGGATGTGTGTCCGCAGCTTTAGCAGCTTTTAAGTCGTATCTCCTCCTCAACGAAGCAATATCGAGGACTAGTTCCAAAAGCAAATATGTTAAGCAAGTTCCGAGGATGAACATAGGCCAAAAAAATTCCCGGAACTTCCTGGATTTCCAGGAAAAGCCAAAAAACGCCGAAAAAATGCCATATCTCGGCAACCAGACCACTTAGCGACTTAAAACATTTACCAATCGATTCCTGCCATAATTTAGAACAATATTGCCGCAGAAAGTTTTCAAAAATATCCTTTCGTTCGGTCACAAAAAATTAATTAAGAATTTTTAAACTGAGCATCGTGTAGGCCTAGGATGATATTTTTTATTTAAACTGAGCATAGTGTAGGTTTTTAGCGCAAAGTGCTGAGATTCGAAAGGATTTTACCATAGCGAATGAGCGGAGGTTCGAAAAGATTTTTACGTAGGTCTGTGAATTCTAAAAAAATAATTAAGGAAATTGCGCTTAAATTGTCACTAGACTTTTTATTAACTTGTTTTTCCACGTAAATCTCCAAATAAATTCTTTGCTTATGAAAAAAAGGAATAAACTACACCAACAAGCCTTTTTCTAAGATAGAAATAACAAATTTTGAAGTGATTACAATACATAATTTACTTAGCAAAATGGCTTTTTTAATGTTCATTTGATGTTTAATTGCATGTGTAACACATTCATACTGATACATTAGCATGTTTTACATAAATATACAGAATATATAAATAAAAAATTAGAAGAAAAAGCTGTCAAAATAAAAAAATAAATTATGAAAATAACTTAAAGGATTGATTACCAAGATTGGTCATAATTGACAAAAGAAATAGAGGTAGCTCTCTGCAGTATTGTGTGGCCAGCACAATGTTTCTTTCTATAGCCCAGACTCAGATAACTGCAATATGTAGGACAATAACAATTTCACATTGTCATCTTCCCCCAAAATTGATTGTTTAAGGTACCAATCCTCAATTGGAAGCATAAAACTAAAGTTTTAAATTGCAGAAAATGTTAGGTAATATAAAACAATGACAATTTTTATGATTTTTAACAACTTTTGAAATTTCAGTCTCCTTTTGATGAGCCCAATGACAATAAGTTTACCTCACCAGGGTAAGTGTGGTTAAATAATTGTAGAGGCAGATAAACAGCAGTGTAGTCAAGTTAAAAAAATAAATAATAAAAAAAACATTTTATTAACATTTTTTAAAATATCACATAAAAGAAATTCAATTCTGTTATGTAAAAATTAGTAGGTGTTATTATAAAATTTCAATATATAAATAATACAAACACATTTGCTTTTATGTGTATATTTAAAAACTATTTTAGGTTTTCACAAACTCGTCAGTTTCTTCAGATGGAACAGGATGTTGATCTTGAGCTGATTAAAGAAAGAGAGGATGCAATTAAAAAACTTGAAGTAAGAAAATAGAATCAGTTGATTTTTGTGGCTCAAACATAGATGTTTTTTAAAATGATTTTTAAATACAGAAAAGCTCAGCTATGGTTATGTTTGGGTAAATGTAGAAGTTTAATAACATAACAAAATATAACACATCAGCAATGGTTCAATAATGTGGTGGTCCTGTTTGAAGTCATGAATTTTTAAAATAACTACTCTTCATTCTTACTTTTTGGCATTTGAATAAAAGATTGCTTAACATGAGAAAATAAATCAATATCTATATATATATAATTCTCTTCTGGGAGACGCTAGAAAACAAGCTGTAAACGTGCTCCCTACCATCCCCACCCCTACATGGTCTTAGTGAGCTGCAGTTCACGCTATGTTTACCTTCGTGGAGTCGGGTTTAGTGACGGCTATTAGGGGCAGATAATTTAGTTCGAAACGATTTTAAACATTGTGTGTGTGTGGGGGGGGGGGGGGGGGGGGGGTTATGGTCCTTAACGAGCTACTTATAGTGTTTTAAAGAAATATTTTCAGTGTCAGCGTTGGTACTGTCGAATTCACAAATTATGAATTACTGAAAAGTAGAAAAAACAACAACAAAATAGCGGCGTATGTTATGCCGCGGGCCGGCTCGTTTTTTTATATTACAAGAAATGAAATTATAGACTATTTATTTCCTAAACTTTTTACCAAAATTAAGAATTATAATTGTAATCATTTTATATTATGGAACAAAACATTTTTAAAAATTTAGATTTGAAATAAATATATGACTTAACAATGAAGTTAAAATAAGTATTCTAATATTGTTTTTATTTTCTATCTGCACATTTTTAAGAAGGTGTACAGCGAATACAAAACTTAATATCATATTTATAGTAAAATATCTTTTTATTTTTTGTTCTGTTATCTAAATACACATTTATTTTGATAAAAACAACAGAGTGATATAATGGATGTGAATCAAATCTTTAAAGATTTGGGAATGCTTGTACATGAACAAGGAGAAGTTTTAGGTGAGTAAATCATAGGAAAGTTGGTTTCAAGGAGAGTTGGGTAAAATTTTAGGTGAGTATATTGTTGAGCTGTGTTAGGCTGAAGAGTTTTGAAATAAAGTTACTTTTTTTGTTTCTACTTCATTGTTCCAAATATTAGAAACACTTCATAACTAAATCAATCAATAGCTAGAATCATTACAATAATTATATACTAGTATATGTGTACATGGGGACAGCATGGTCAAATGGTAGAGCTTATGACAGCTAAGCTGAAAGACTAGAGCAAATTTGGGCATAGCACTGACCATACTATCTCTTCGAAACAGATGGACTCTACTTCATGTGCTTCGTGTGTCTTGGGTATGAACAGGAAAAGATGATATATGTCCATTTATTGTTTTCCTTAGCAGAATTCTAGATACAGAGTACTTAACTTTTTAACAGTAATGTTTGAGGGGCTTCGTTATGACAAATGTACATTGCAAGTTTGAAAATAATCCTTTTTACAGCAATGAAGCCCATTATGTAGGTGTCTTGATGTGTACATTTGATAAAATAGATTAAACTAAACCCACCCTCTTCATGATGTATCCACAGACAGTATTGAGGCTAACATTGACAATGCCCAGTTGTCTGTGGAGGAAGGCACCAAGCAGCTAAGTAAAGCTAGAGACTATCAGGTTTGAGAGTTTGTAATACCCAAATCATTTGGTATTAACACAATTTTTGTAACTTTACTCTCCTCTTAAAATATTTTAAAATACTTTTAAGGACACCGGTTTATATATTTTTTTTTGTAATTTAGAAGAACAATAAATTTATACTAATAGTAACAAAAACTAGCTAACATGTTTTATTATTCAGTAATGATTTTTTTATTGGGGTTTCATGAACTTTATTTTAATATGTTAATAATAAATAATATAAATTGTAAAAGAAATTTAGCAGATTAATATTAAAATAAACCACTATGCGTAAGTTTTCACATTGTGTACGTTTTAAGCCTATTTACTAAATATTATTAAAATGGTTCCATGACAAATGATCTCAGGACAAATGATCTCAGACAAAATATCTCAGACAAAATATCTCACGGACAAATGATCTCAAGACAAATGATCTCAGGACAAATGATCTCAAGGACAAATGATCTCACGGACAAAAGATACCAGGACAAAATATATCAGGACAAATGATACCATGGACAAATGATCTCAGACAAAATATCTCAGACAAAATATCTCACAGCTAAATTTTAATAGTATGTACGATGATTTTAGTTGATTTGAACATGTTTTTCAATTGTCTGTCAATATGGCTTTTGTTTACTTTTTTAAGCATAATAATTGTGATTAAAATGAATTTCTTAAACTTAACAAAGTATCAAAAGATGTATTAAACGTAATATTTTTAATAGCATTTGATTTGAAAAGGGTAAACATTAAAACAAAGTTACTCCTGAAAGGTGTAATAAATGATAATGTATAGAACAAATACAGTAATAGTAGCTATAGTGATTTTTTTTAATGTGAACATGTCTTTAGGTTCGTAACGTAAAACTTATTCTTATTGCATCATCAACACAAACATAACGCTTAAGTTTCTTTGCTGGCAGGTAGGCTACATCGTTATGATCACACCTCTCCAATACAATGTGATCATGTATTGTGTATACTCTTGCTTGACATGTTCTAACTTCACATTTCCAAATATCTTTGCCTGCTGCTCAATTTATGTTTTTTTTTTATAAACATAAATTCACCAGAAACTAATGTCCTAAAACATTTCTGCGAGGTAACGAAAGAAGCCATAATTGAGTCATCACAACTAATACTGCTTTGTTTTCATGCACACTACGACAAACTTAGCTCCGCGATGACCGCTGTTGTTTAACTAAGCATTTGTCACCTGATCACTAAGGTGTGACCGACGCATAACTATTTACTTTAGATGTTTGTTGTATTGTCCATGGAGGGCGGATGTCTTTCCCTTAAGGCATGCCTCTGCCATCAAAGCGGGCGGCCACCTTGATACGAAGGTGTGTCTTTATTGTTATTTCATTCCCTTTGATCTAGTTTCATCCACCTGACATTGTAGGATTGTCTCATGTTTGGCAAGCCCACCTACGCTGTCTATCGAAATATTTCTTTAATCTTCACATACTATATTAGTAATTATAATTTTAAAATGTTTAGTGCAATATGACAAATTTATGCGGCAAACATTCCTAAAAATTATTATATAGGCCTATAAACAATATTAAATATAGTAAACAATACCATATGGCAGTCAGTAAAAATGTTCAGATTAGCTAAAATCATCCAATACACTATTAAAATTTAGCTATGAGATATTTTGTCTGAGATATTTTGTCTGAGATCATTTGTCCATGGTATCATTTGTCCTGATATATTTTGTCCTGGTATCTTTTGTCCGTGAGATCATTTGTCCTTGAGATCATTTGTCCTGAGATCATTTGTCCTGAGATCATTTGTCCGTGAGATATTTTGTCTGAGATATTTTGTCTGAGATCATTTGTCCTGAGATCATTTGTCCTGTCACCATTAAAATATATATAAATTAAAGTAGTGTTATAAAAATATGCATTGTTACAGGGTAAAAGTAGCTAAGAGGGGTGTATTGTTACATTAAATGTTTATACAGTAATTATGTAAAAAATTTGGGATAATTTTTGTTTTGTTTTGGTGTACATAGTTCTTGCATGCTCAGTATTTTTACTATTTTTTTGTGGAAGTCTTGTTTACATTTAGTTTAGTTTGAATATAATGCAGACATAAAAAATGTCTTATTGTGTAGAGGTTATACAAGCGGATGAGCTTATCATTTATCTGCAACCTAGTGTCATCATGATTAAAAAAAATAGTTTTCTTTGTTACCTTTTTAACAAAATGATAGCAAAGCAATATTAAACATCATTGCTTGTGTTGTGGTTGGGAAACATACAGTAATCCTATTTGAGAAATTTAATTGTTATTAAATGTAATAAACATATTTTTCCTGTCTGCAAAAATTGTAGGTTTAAAATTTATTTAAGGCATCAACATTTTAAAAATATTTTTTTTTTAAATAAATTTGAATCAACAATTTACAAAGGCACTACAAGCCCTTTAAGTTTGCATTAAATACAAGTTTTTGCAAATTTAAATAATGTGAATAGTAATAAAATTGGGCAATTGCTGAATTTGTTTGTGTCTTTAATTAGTATAGGAATAATTATTATAGTTTGCAGGCTTTATAAGAACCAATTAACTCATTTTGGTTGCAACTTCTGCAGCTTTTTGATAAATCAGCATAAAAAAATTAAAAACTTAAACTAAGGGCTACCTGTATAAGCAAGACACACAAAAAATTATTTTTCTTTTGGTTTGAATTATTTATCATTTCACATGTGCAAATACTTTTTTTTGTTTGATATGATTTTGTATTTATTTTCAGTCTAGAGCACGGCGAAAAAAGTTCTGTATAGCCATCATCATTATAGTTGTTCTGGCTATTATTGGATTGATAATTGGTCTATCTGTAAAATAAAAAAGCAGTCACTTTCAAACTTTAGTAGGTTTTTAGTTGTTATTTTTGTATTATTGCATTATTTTTATTTATTTAAATAAGAATAAATTATTAAAATTAACCTAGTATTTTTTTTTTATTTGAATTAATAAATAGGCCTATTTTATTTCAAATCCCAGTTTCATTCATTAAAAAAAAAGGAAAAGCCAAGCTTATGTTTAGAGTGACATTAAGTTATACTTTTAATTTAAAAAAAAAAAAACCAGTAATAAAAAAAGTGCTAGTTACATCAAAAAAAGTCAAACTGATTAAAAAATTAAAATCTGCATTGATTTCACATATAGTTTTGGAGGTAATTAATACAAATTTAAAAAAATAACTTGATGTCAATCCAAATATCATACGCTCATTTCAATCAAGACCACATTCAAGCTCAATTTTTCAATAATACTTTAGTTAAAGTATTTGCATGCTTTCAATTTTTAATGTGTGCATGATTTTTTAAAATGGGCCTTTCAAGGATGTGACTCAGCTTCAAAGTACTTAAATATGTTGTTTTTTGTCTATAAAATAATGTATTAATTATAACAGTTTTTAGTGTATTGAAACACCAGTAGGTGGGTATATAGGCTATTTTTTTGTCTACATTAGCTCTAACTCTCAACATAAATCCAAACATCAATATTAGCATAAATAAAACACATTAACACACTGTATTTCCAAACTTTAAATTTTTATGTTTCTTTTGTTTAGCTTAAAAATGGTTACATTTTTTATTCAGTTGCTGCTTGATAAGTTTCAGTAATCCACTTTTCAAATCTTTTAACACAGGCCAAATCTCGACGGAAATGTTGCATCCTGATCATCATAGCTTGTTGTATTGTCCTCATTCTGGCACTGATCATCTATCTGGCAAGCTAGTGATTGGGTTTGGATATGCCTGGGCTTTATTGTTTGTCCCAACACAACCGTTTTTGTGTTGTTGTTTTTTTTTTTTTTGTTGATCATTAGAGTAGTGTGGCACCCTTGTTATTAATGGAGAACAAGTCCTGTTGAATGCTGAACACTGGCAAGTGTTAATTATAGATGTTAATTTAGCTTATTAGCCAGATAAACATTTTGTAATAATTTTGTAGTTTAAGATTGTAATTTTGCAAGCTTATTTATATTAAAAATGTTGCTCCATTTATTATCTTCTGTATAATTTTTAATTCTTTCAATCCAATTACTTTAGCAATTTCACTGGGTTTTTTTTTCTTTTGGAGTAAAACTCAGCACGTTTTTATTTTTATTGCTATCGACTTTTTAAATTTTTTTATTCTGCTATTGAAGTCTTGCCACATACAATTTTTTGTTATTTCTTTTTTATTAGAGTTAAAAAATTTAAATCTTAAATCCCATCCTAGATTTTTGCAAGGTGTTCTTTAATTGTTTTTGTTAAAAGTTTCAATGTTTTTGTTGGCATTTATTTCTTCATCTTAACAGAAAAAATACATATTTACAAATAGATTTTGAGGAAATTTATCTAGTCTTTCGGAAATGTATTACTTACCAATAAATCTGATCAAGTTTAATATATTTAATAGAAAACAGTGTAATGGGATTTAATCGTTTTTAATAGCTATTTTAATGCCTCTTGTTAAGATAATAGAGATTAGTGATAATCAGTAAAAATTATTACACTTCATGAAAATCGCATCTTATTTTTAACCAAAAACCAAAAAGAACAAATTAAAGTACGAATTTAAGTATTTACTTTTTTTAATCTCACTCTTTCCTCAATGATCTTTCTCTCACACTTGTATGAAACTAAAATCAATTTTAAAAATTCACATTCCATCATGGGTTTTCCAAAAATAAATTTCTTATTTCATTCAAACATTTTTTTAAATTAGCTCTGCTAGCAAAAACTTAATTTCAAATAAAACATTGTAACCTAACTCACATCTTACATTTAAATAATTTAATAGCTTCCTATGCATGTATAAAGCACATTGAGATCAATCTTACATATTTTTTTTTTAATTCATCACATAATCTAAACATAATCAAAGAATTTTTGTTTTACGTAAATAGTTAACTCTTGTAAAGGTACCTTGATGATAATTGTACTGGATGAAACTTTATTACATGTTATTATTGCCAGAGTTTCTTTCTGTGGTTGCTGTATTATTTTGTATCTTATTTGAATGACTTGATTTAAAAAAATCAGTTTAAAATAGCTGTTCATTCCAACTACAAATTTGGTGTTACCCTGTTTGTAAAAGTAAAAAAAAAAAAAATCTACAATCCATATGTAAATTGTATTTTACCCCCCAGTGTAAATTAGTGTAAATGTACAACATATTTATTGGTTTTAACTTTATTTCATTGTAAGTGTATAAATGAAAAAAAAACGTATAGTTATAAAAGTATAATTAATAAACTTATCAGGCAAGTTTTTTTTTTTTTCAATTTTTGTACATTTTTTAAATCTTTTTTTTGCTCAATATAGTTTTAGGGTTGTGACAAGGATCCATGGAGTACTGAATATAATTGTATTTTAAAGAAATTTTAATTCAACGTATTAAAGTACAATAATTATAAACAAAAGAATTATAATTTAAATTTAACCATCAGTAAAGAACTGTAGAATAAAATGTTTTTTTTTAGTACATAAGCATAATACATTTGCTTTTTTTAATTTTTAAAAAACTTTATTTTCAATACACGAGAAATTTTTTCATACTAACAATATTAAATTGCCACTGCATTTTTATTCGTTAACTAATTATTTTAATGATTTGTATATAACTTAACATACCATGAACTTTTTTCTAAGCAACATTATGAGGAGTTTGAGTACCTGTGCTTGGTAAACTGTGATACATTTTTGATTGGGTTTCCCTGGAAAAGACCCGTGTCTTAGTAAAAGCATGAATAAATCATTGGGTATATATAGAGATGTAACTTTGTTTTTGTATTAAGGAAAATTTTCTTCTAAAATTTGATAAGTGAAATTAAAAATATATACCTAAATTGGATTTTTACACTAAAATTTTCTTGATATTTCTAAATTCCACCTAGAAAAACTTGAAAATCCCTTTTCTGGCTATGCATCCTGTTTCAAACATCGAAACATTTTTTTTTCAGGTGGTCAGTTACATATTGAGGTATATTTGGGTTTTAGCAGGTTTTAGTTGGTTATAAATAAAAAAAAACCCTGCCATGTTGAGTGTAAGTGTAAGCAGGGCGCAGGAGAATGAAAACTAGCTTTTCTGATGCACCTCTAGAATCAACGGTTTGGATTTTAGAATAGTACTAATCCTTCTCTATAATCAGGCCGGTGGATGATCTTTGTTAAGATTATAGTGTTATTAAGTTTAAAACTTTTACTTTCGGGTTTTACGTTTGGGTAAAATTAAAAAGTGAATCTAGTCGTATATAGAAAATAAAGTTTAAAATTAGTGACCATGCATTTGGAAATGATGTATTTGGCTGTCAGATTTGTGACCAGATATTTGGCTGTCAGATTTGTGACCAGATATTTGGCTGTCAGATTTGTGACCAGATATTTGGCTGTCAGATGTGTGACCAGGTATTTGGTTGTCAGATTTGTGACCAGGTATTTGGTTGTCAGATTTGTGAACAGATATTTGGCTGTCAGATTTGCTACCAGGTATTTGGCTGTCAGATTTGTGACCAGGTATTTGGCTGTCAGATTTGTGACCAGGTATTTGGCTGTCAGATTTGTGACCAGATATTTGGCTGTCAGATTTGTGACCAGATATTTGGCTGTCAGATTTGTGACCAGGTATTTGGCTGTCAGATTTGTGACCAGATATTTGGCTGTCAGATTTGTGACCAGATATTTGGCTGTCAGATTTGTGACCAGGTATTTGGTTGTCAGATTTGTTACATCAGACTTGTTGGTATGTGACCAATATTACCAGGTAACACAAGTTGTGTTAAGCAGGTGCAGCAGAGCAAGCCATAGATAAATTATCTGCCAAGTGTATATACATTTAGTTTATTAACAATATTTAAGAGTTTTGTTAAGGTTAATGTCTTGTATAAATATTTATGCTTTGTTTAGTTGACCAGGTCTATAATTAAAATCAAATTTTGTTGCTAATTGTTTAAATAGTCAATTATATTATAAATTATAGCTTTTTTATTTAGGCCTACTCTAAATGTATTAATAGCTCATTTTTTAGTTTAAATTTATTAGTACATTTTTTTAAACTCAAAATTTAAACATGGAAAGTTAATGTTGTAACAGTTGACAAAGCAATATGAGGGATATTTGTCTAATTGAATGAACATACTTCAAACATAGATTTTGATGTGTGTGATTTAAATTGTGTGGAGTTTTGTAACCTATATGCAGGGATTTTGAGGGTAAAAAACAGTTGCTATCCAGTTTCAAAATGTAAACAACTTTTTAAAGATTTTAAAAAATTTCTGTTTTAATATCTGGGGACAGTGTACATTTGAGTTCACTACATACTGTTAGAAAAAAAAAATTCACTTTTTTTACACACATTTTGTTAACATGAAGTTAGTCAAAGTCTTATTTCAATAAAATAATTCATCAAAGTTGTGTGTGTGGTGTTTGTATCTAAAATAACTGAAATAATGGCAGGTCGATATTGGGTATTGGCAGCCGAGGTTTGGGGAATGAAAATTTATCATTGCACTAGTTAATGTAGAATTTTAACCAGGTACAACTCTACTCCTTCGGCCAAGTTTTTAAGAACACTAGTCGACCGGGTTTCCAGTTTCCGTTGGAAAATGGTTGGTCTGTTGCAATACGTCTCACCTAACCGTTGACAACAAACACTCCACCCCACCCCCGTGACTTGTTCAACCCTCGCCACACTTAAATATAAAGGATGAGGACAAATTATTCACTTGTATGTAGAAATAAGTTTTATTAAATAACATAAATTATAACTGGTTTATCCAGAAAGATTTCAGCTGCTGTATATTCTGTTCCTGATTTTTAAAGTGTATAAAAGAAATTTATTCTGGTATACGGTTACATTAAAAAACAAAGTAAACTGAAATAGTCTGTAACAGTAACATTTTAACAGGAATAGTTAGGATTTTTAAACAAAATAAAACATTTCTCACAAATTGGTTCTTATAACTCACTAGTTCTATCAGTAAGGGCCTATCTACGATATCCGTTGGTCCATGCACACAAATGGACGGTATAATTTATAAACCTCTATAAAAAATAGTTTCAAACGTAGATATACACACACACACACATAACAACGGGCATACGACAAATGCCCGAATGCCGTTTTTCGGAATCGCAACGATTACCCTAAAGCAAATTTCGCAAAAGGATGATAACATTAATGTAGGCTATACATTGATTTGTGTTCATAATATATTTTCTTTTCAAACAATTTTCCATTTTTTCATAATTTTCTTTTCAAACAATTCTCCATTTGGGAAAATCAGCCATCGGGCTAATGATATTTTGAGAAAATAGCACAGGAGAAATGTTCTCCGGGCACCCCATACAAATACAACAGCCACACGTTTTAAAAAGTTAGATACAGAGTTTCTTCCAGACATCTTTTCGGGGGGGGGGGGGGAAGTCTACCCTTCTCCCACCCCCACCGAACGAAATAATTTATCTTTAAACCGCCCCCCCCCCCCCCTGGAAATTTTAGTGCGCCCCCCGAAAATTTCAAGTGCCCCCCGGCACTAAAAATAAAAAAAGTCTGGAAGAAACGCTGGTTAGATATCTATGTGTAAATGTAAATAGGAAAAAAATATATACGTTTATATAACCAGAACGGAGAAATCACAGGCATTCGATACATCACAATAAATTGGAGCCATTAAAATAATATGAGTAACATATGCATTTCTATAGTCGCAATATTAGTCTACAAAACATTGTTGTTTACAAATTCATAAGAAGCAGAAATAAAATGATATATATATATATAATAATATATATAATAATATATATATTATATAATATATATTATATAATATATATATATATATATATATAATATATATATTTGTAGTAAAAAAAATCCTATAAACATTATAGAAAAGTAAAAATTTCAAAACATGTCACACGCCTATACGGCAGTGGCGTTACAAGGTGGGGGGGGGGGGGGGCGTGGGGGCGAACTAAACCAGGTGACACCACTCTAGGCATCAAAACAAGTCATATCTAATTTTAGTAAGAAAGCCATCTCTTTCAAGTTGGTTTAATGGTTTATTAGAGTTATATACATCTTTATATATGTATCTATATTACTGCTAGCTTGTAAGACCGACCGAGGAGCATAGAACTCCTCTTGTGTTAAACCAACAGTGAAAATATTGTTCCCGTGGGTTTTGGCTGAGATTCTCCGGAAAAAAAATCGTCTTCAGATCATTCTGCGAATGGGCGAGTTCCTAGTGTCTCTGAACTTCCGGATGAGCTAAAGAAGCCGCAATCCTTCTACCAAGCAAACGTATTACACATTAAAAAAAAAACAAGTTAAATTCACTATATGCCCACTATATTCAGTGCTCACCAACCTTTAGTGAAATCACGCTGAGGCCTAAGCAGCAAAGAAAATATAGTAAGACTTTATGCTATAGTTATATTTAACCTTAACTACACATTTATAAACAACTTTCAGATCTTCATTCTGGTAAAATACAGAGCACCAATAAACATCAATTATTTAGCAAGTGTTAACAGGCAGTTGCGGAATTTAAAAATGAAGGAATGTGTTCTCCGTCCAGTGTCGTATGCAGGGGGGGGGGGGGGGTTAGGGGGGGGGTCTTAATCCCCCCCCATAGACCCCTCGGTATATATATATATATATATATATATATATATATATATATATATATATATATATATATATATATATATATATATATATATATATATATATATATATATATATATATAAAGTATGAGGGGGGGGGGTGCAAATCGAAACTTTGTCCCCGGGTAAAAATTGGACCCCCCCCCCCCCCTTGAGACGATCCTGGCTACGCAACTGTCTCCGTCCTATCAATGACGTCACTATCTGGACATTGAGCATCATTTTCACAGCATCTTGTTCAAACTGGTATTATCTGGACAGTGCTGTATGCAGGGCGTCATTAGGATACTTTGTTCCAGGTTGTATTGATGCAGACAAAATACGCATCCCCTTTTGTGAGAGCTTGCTTGGGAAGATCTAGAATAGTCCCCAAATGTCATCGCTGGGAAAAATCTTGGTGTTTTTTTTTAGTAGCGAGAAGCGCAGCTTTCACCGTAAACTTTGTTGCCATGGTAATCATGGCCATCACCTTTAACCTATGGTCCTGGCTTCCGGTTGACCCCAAGTTTGTAAGGCCTAATTTTAGACTACGCTAAAACGTGTATGGGTTATTCCTCTTCTTTGGCTCTCCTCAGTGTGTATGGGAACAGAACGTAAATGGTAAAACAGCAGACAAACAGCAGGAGGAAGATGGAAACTGGGATCTGCCAGCAAGGCAGGTGTGTCATGTTGACCCGGTGGTGGTAGACGATGTCCAACTCTGCTGCCTGGAACTGGAAGATGACCAGAATCACGCTGGACACGTGGAAGATTTGATGGCCTTGACCTATGAAATCAAATTTTCCAGGCCATATTTTTTCTGGAATGTGACTAAGAGAAAAAAAGTTTTGAAATTTTAATTTAGTCCATTTGACGTAATTATATATATATATATATATATATATATATATATATATATATATATATATATATATATATATATATATATATATATATATATATATACATACACACACATATATGTATATGTATATATATATATATGTATATATATATGTATATTTATCATATGTATATATATATATGTATATTTATATATATATATGTATATATATATATATATGTTTATTTATGTATATGTATATTTATATATATATATGTATATATATATATATATATATATATATATATATATATATATATATATATATATATATATATATATATATGTATATGTATATATATGTATATATATATCCTAATAAGTATTACCGTACTATATTTAAAAAAGAAAATATGTATGGATTTTAAAGAACTAACCTTGAGAAGAAAACAGCACAAACGATGCCGGCTATTGACGCAAGAAACACAAACGCCAAACCTGGTTCTTCCC